ACATTGCACATTGTGCAGTCAATCCGTACCCAGCTTACCTTCGAGCTCCACATAAAAGCATACCAAGTGTGACCTCAGTACACGAAGGTTCTCACATCGTACAAACTTAGTAGCATTCTGCGATACGATTTTCCTCCCTTGACTGTAAAATCAGGGAGTAGTATATTGTACTACTCCCTGGTAAAATCAAGGTGGGGCGCTCTCGTGAGACGGGGCGCTCTGGCGGTACTTTACGGTAGTACGAACTTTCGGACCACGAGCGTGCGCGTGCGCTGGCTGCCTTTTTTCTTCTTCTTTTTTCAATAGTCGAGGTCATATTGTACAGTGCAAATTGTTTTCAATCGTGTTTTGAACAAAATAATCAGTGCGTTGTACGAACTTTCAACACAGTCGTGATTCAATGCACTTTGTCATTGTACTTACCTGTTTCTGGCTTATGCTAAGAATAACATGCTTCCCATGTACCACAGCATGCACCTTCACGTAAATACAATCCATCTGATATGCATATCGATTTTTTGTCAGATCTGGATAAGAAGAACTCCCGGTAAGACAAACAAATGTGTTCAGTCCCTTGAAGTTCGTCCTAACGAGGTTTGACTGTACTCGCACTTGAAAATTTGAATTCGCGCTGTCTAATTTTCGCGATCTGATCTGATGGCCATCGCGAAAAACGCGAACATTTCTACGGGGCGAATATTAGGCGGTTTACAGTATCACTTAGAGTGCAAGGAATGTGATAGAACTATGTTGGAGAAGCGTGCCAAAGCTTTCCAATGCGCTTAGCCAAACACACTGCTGATGCAAGCAAACGCATACATACAAGGTGCTAGAATACTGTACCTACCCCCGTTTCGTAAACAGTTCGCAACAAGCAACCGGGCGCACCGCTGACAGTACACAAGACACCATTACGGCATTAGTCAGTGCATCAGTGCTTGGCCAGGGATGGTGGGACAGAGCTGCCTGAAAGCTGCAGGGAGTCAGTGAGTGCGTTCGACTATGCCCGCGAATCGATGTTGAATCCATTCATGAATCGCCCCTGGCGATTCACATCACCCCATGTGAATAGGGTGAATGGATTCCGAACCGATTCCAGGGCTCATGGCATGAAATCGAACGACGATATTCCATTCCTGAATCAATTCATGGCGGTAATCGAACGCACCCAGTGCAGGTGCGCTACACCAAGCTGGCAATCAACGTCAGCAACGGACGGGCGCTCCCGGTCATACCGCCGTGGAGTGGAATACACCGCACCATACAGTATGCCACGCGGTATCGCCAAGAGCCGTACCAGTGTGGAATACACGGCACCGCACAGTATGTTGCACTGTACCACCAAGAGCCGTACCAGTGTGGAATACACGGCACCGCACAGTATGTTGCACTGTACCACCAAGAGCCGTACCAGTGTGGAACACACGGCACCGCACAGTATGTTGCACTGTACCGCCAAGAGCCGTACCAGTGTGGAATACACGGCACCGCACAGTATGTTGCACTGTACCACCAAGAGCCGTACCAGTGTGGAATACACGGCACCGCACAGTATGTTGCACTGTACCACCAAGAGCCGTACCAGTGTGGAACACACGGCACCGCACAGTATGTTGCACTGTACCGCCAAGAGCCGTACCAGTGTGGAATACACGGCACCGCACAGTATGCTGCACTGTACCGCCAAGAGCGGTACCAGCGTGGACAACACCGCACCTCACAGTATGTTGCACTGTACCGCCATGAGCAGTATCCATATTGTCAATGTACCTGCACCAAGTTTTTGCCCGCATCTTGATAGCTTAGCTTCGTTGCATGTAACAAGGAAGCATAGTACAATGCTCAAGTTCATCATTATTGATGTGAGCGTATAATGTTAGCAGAGGAACCAGAGAGATGGCCGTTAGCCATGAACTACAGAGCTGCTCAATGGAATCCGATCACGTGAATAAACCAGCGCCGGACGCTGTGCCGTCCCCGGACTTGAAGGCACTGGGTCGTGCACTGCACTGGCGAAGGGCTAGTGTTGTCCATGTCATCTGATTTTACTGAGCGCGGCTGTAGTTCGCGATTCACTCGCGATATCGGGCCAAATGACAAAAGTAAATTCCAAACGAAATTTTCAGTTTATGCAGTAGGGAAGTGAAAAACGTATGTAGGGATTGCCTCATTGTGCACAGGAAGTGGGGTATTACTTAAAAAATACATGAGTGGTGTGTGATGATTCAAACACCAAGTTCCTTCAAGAACATTGCCAATTCACATTCAACAAGCCATTTTCAATGCTCCAGTCATCATCAAGATTTTTATTGTTTTGAACTTTAAATAAATGTTAGAATTCTGTTTTGTAGTTACTAGTTAGTTGTGGCCTTTCCACACCACTGCATAGTCTAAAATATTCACATTAATTTTTCGTGTCGCGACCCCTTCAAATAAGTCTGAAAATTTCAGGGATTTTCGGTGATGACTGGACCATTCCAAAGGGATCAGGACAATTTGCAAGAGCGAGTAGACAACCTACCTTTTGGAATTCGGTACAGGATGGACTCGGAATGCCCCTGAACACAGAGCTCCAACGAGAAGGTCGCCATGGTCTTTCAGCTCGCTCAGTGAAGGCCTGGGCCTCTGGGAGGTGTTGGAATACTAGTTGTGAGACCGAGCAAGCTTCATTCGGAAGCATGCACCTTTTATCACCAGCTTCCGGCTAGAATACAACGCGAAGCCAGAGTCGTGCCCTGTTCAGCAGCACTTCCTTTGAAGTGCACCCAAATATTTTCGCTGCGGGGCGGTGAACAACAAGGCTGGCCACTTATCCGAACTGTTTAGTTTGTGAGCTGACAGTGACAGCATCCACATTTGGCTGGGCCGTCGCGTGTGGACAAGGCAGTTCAAACAGTGAAACAGTACAGAGTAGAGTCAGTGCAGGCTCGAAAAGGCCTGGCCCTTTTTTATAGGTACAGCACCTTGTGAACCGGCGGTGTAGTACAATTATGTGCAGTATGTGGGAGGATGGTCCCGGTCGGCCTCCAAAAAAAGAGCGCTGCGGCCGGAGGTCGAGGCGATCGCGATATCGAGGCTGAGGGGAAGCTACAAAATATTTGTACGAAACTGTACAAAAAGTTGCCAGACAGCATAATTTTATAAGGGCCATGCGCATGAACACTCGGATGCAGACTGCATGCAGTCTTCATCTGCACGATCGACGATGTCACAAAGACTCGGGATATGATCGACGGTCTACTCTGATCTGGCTCTGGCTCTGTCTGTCCTGACATCATGCCAGTGTCAGTACAGGCCAGGTGACCATGGTGACTGCATTCGTGATCGAGTATCTACTCCTTTCGTCGCCAAGACTGCGAAACGGGGAAAGGACTTAGGTCCGCTATATCAACAACAAAAAACATTGCAGACTAAGAACTTAGATACGCGAAGACTGAGAGTGAGACTGAGAGAGCAGCGCCTGCAGAAGGGAGGCAGAGAGTGACGATCGGGTTGCAGTAGACACTACACCGGCCTTTCTGATCGCAAGCTAGGGAGACCGTACAGCGACGACGCTGCGCTTACCAACGCGCGCTCGAGATCACGGCGCTCCTGCGAACTGAAAAATACAGAGGTTGCATTACTACAATGGTATAAAGACACCGTCACATTCGACTTGGCCCTCACCAGAAGTTGCAGTTTGGTGGACCTTACTTCGCTGGACGGGACCTCATCGCACCAGCTGCGGAGTTGGGACGCGAGTCGGCGGTGTCATGGCCACGAGATACAGTGAGTTTCAGACCACCAACGAGCACACGTTCAGCGCGCCACAGCGTATGCCAGGGTGAGTCCGGGTCTGCACGCGGGATACATGTGGATCTACCAGGCTGTGGCACAGGGATTTCAAGAGGTCTGGGTAGATCCAGCTACCTGCATGCCCAGAAATTCAGATGGACATTAGCGACGATCCCCCCCCCCCCCCCCCTTCACGAAATGGGTGGGTCAACCTCTTTCGAAATGGGGTCCAGCAATTCGAAAGAGGTTGACCCACCCCATTTCATGCTGCATGGCCGGACCAGACGGACCGGGTGCTACTGACCTGTGCACGGGAAAAAGCCGGGAATGCATGATAGTGGCACCTGGCATACATACCCGTTTGTGTCTTTCCCTCAAACTAGTCAAGATATTGTTATTATCAAAAATTTTAATAGGGCAATCCTCACCGGCCTTCGGCCTTTTTACAGGGTACCCTAGGTACTGTAACGTGGACTCGCTGATCAGCCTGTAATATGCTAGTATGGCAATTATTTGCAGTTGTAGCGTACCAGAACAGTGGCATCAGACGCACTGTGTATCATGTATTGTAACATTGCTGCCCATGCTTTCCGCCAGGGGGGGTTGTAACTTTGTACGACTCCCTGCTTTCCGCGCTATGACTGAGTTTCACTTGCTTGGTCACGTACATGTATCTGCTTACACTTTACAGCTATGGTGGCTACTGTCCGGGTGCAAGGTACCAGTACGGGGAGACATTCGGCACGGGAACAGCGGCATTCTTCCACGACTATCGGCAGCGGCACCTGTCCGCATGGCGCGGTGGCGACCATCGGCTGGCGCCGTTCCCGGCGGTCTACAACGAGCCGTCGCACATAGCCAGCACGCGCGACCGGTCGCGTGCACGCTGGATGCCGCGCGTCAACGCGTACGATCTCACTATCTCTGGACAGCGGCAGGCGGACATGCTGGAGTTTGACAGAGTGAGTTTTAGTCTCTGGGCATGTACCGCATACATGTAATTAGTAAGCCATCTTGACAAGGACCCACACACGAAAACAACCACAGCTTACACAAGGCCTTGTTTCAATGTACATGTACTGGGTCGTATCAGATGGCTTGAATATAACAAAGGTCTTGACTTCGGTTACAGAGCTATAATCTGGTAGGTAATGCTTTTGACAATCCGAAACTTCACACATAGGGCTGTCAGAATATGTATCTTCTGCATACATGATGTAGTGCGGCGGGTTGAAGAGCGTGTCTGGAGGCCTTTACAATAGTCTGAGGGGTCCACAACATAGACTTCTAAGTGACAACGTATGTATCCTATGGGGCCTTCAGCACCTTTTTCAACATCGAAATGTGACCGCATGCATAGTTTTCCTGTCCATTGGATTGGGGAATGATGCATTGCTGCCACCTCGGACCAACCAATCAGTGGAATGCCCTGAACATCTGTTAACATGCACGTTGTGTGCTCCAGGGTGCCAAGAAGATAATCCCCACCCACATACGGTTTATAACTTTATATTCAATCCTGCTTCCGATGTTGATTGGGAGCATGTCATTTTTTTACATACGTTGCGTGTACATCATTGTACAATGAATGTACAGACTCGGCGGAGCGGTCCGGTTGGTCAGGCCATGGCTGGACCAACTCTGTGGCCATCAACGTGTGTTTACTTCTGAGGAGGGAAGCTATATGCAATCATACACACAGTATGAAAGACTATGGTATGACCAGACCCATCAGAAACTGCTTCCCCTGGTCCTGATGTACTGTCGTGGACATGGAAATCCGGCCGAATTACCGGGACCGGCACCCTCAGTGCGTACAGAACGTTGCATGCAGTGCACAATCATGTTGATGGTGTGCGTACTGACGACTGGGGCCGTTTAACCTCCGACCGGATATCCATGTCCACAACAGTATTATTATCCTTCTTGCTTACCCTGATTTTCGGTCTTTGACCCCTTGCTGGTGAGCTGATCTACTCACCTCCCCCCGCTTTAGGTGCTGCATCTGCGCCTCGATCCTTGAAGGGTGGTGGCGTTCCTACGGATGCAGAAAACTCGGCCTTTAGCCGAGTTTGACGCGAACCGTGAGATTTCGTGTTTACCCTGTGCCTGCAGAAATGCCAGGAACACCGGGAATGGTACCGGGATCGATCCAACTCCTGCCGGCCTGTGTTCCACGTCCCAACGCCGCTGAATCAGATAGCGACGGAAGAGGCGGCGCGGCAGTGGAAAGCCCCGTCGCACGCGCTCTTCTCCAGCCAAAGTACGGACGGGCGCCTCGGTCCCACCGATATCCCCATTGCCATGCAAGAGTAAGTACATGCACATGTCATACAGTGCTGCTCAATGAAATCCAGTCGCGTTACTCACGTCTGCGCCTTGCACCATTTCTCAGCCCGGTGTTCGCAGGTCTAGGGCTGTACCACGTCCGGCGCATACTGTGACCGTCACATGACTGGATTTTCATTGAGCAGCACTGTACTTACACAATCATGTTCACAGTGGCGGGAAACCTTTTGCAGTAACTCTGAGTTTCGTGGCGGTTGAACCTATCATCAGACGTGGTGAATGCTCAGGGTACCTAGGAATATGCAGGACCGGCGGAAGCAGTTTTCGATTGGTCCGGCTATACCCTAGCCTTTCATACAGTTTGTGCATGATATGGAGCCGAGGGTATACACATGACCTCCTCAGCAGTAAACACACGTTGGTGGCCAAAGCGCTGGTCCGGCCGCCGTGGCCAGACCAACCGGACCGGTTTCGCCGGGCCTGACATGTAGGGGAGGTATACTAGGACCAAGGCTGCAAATGTGTACGTGTACTCCTACTTACAGTTTAGTTGCTCTGCTCAAGCTCCAGGCCAGGCTGCGACATGGCCTAGCTGTTCTTGTAATGCTGATCGCCGCTGCAGGACTCAGAGTATGATTGCATGGGCGAAATTGCATATTTTCTGGCTGACTAAAGCCAGATCTCATGTGAATGTTCAGCTACGTTTCTATAAAATATTCGCGATTAGGCTGACAAGTTACATAAAGTGAGTTATGTTTTCTCATTTATCTGCTTGCACTATATACATGTACAGCGGGGATCTCCCTAGTCACCGGGCTCTCCAGTATAGCAACCGCAGTCACAGCGGACGGACGCCAGGATCGGCTCGGCCCAAGTCCGGAAGACTGCCGGACGCAGATGCGCGGCCTATGTCAACGAAGCGCGACCGCCGCATGCGCGACAGGGTGTTCGAGAATCGCGTCGGCTACGAGATATAATGCCGGAGAACGCATTGCTACCACAGGCACGCACGCACAGTTCCTTGTGACAAACTCGCGCACAAAGTCGGGAAAGGCATTCTTTCTTAGACTTTTGCCTATGATCTAGGAACAACTACTGAAGTATAATGCATGTACTACAGTGCTGCTCAATGAAATCCAGTCGAGTCACTCTCAAGTATGCGCCAGGCGTTGCGCAGCCCTAGACCTGCGAACACTGGGCTGCGAAATGGTGCAAGGCGCAAACTTGAGCGACGCGACTGGATTTCATTGAGCAGGACTATACTATTGCCACGTGGCCGCTGATATCTTCTCACGATTACAATGCTCCGAGACGTGCATGCTGTAGACATGTAGCGTTACCATGGTTACCCTAGTCACTACGCATGCACACACCCGTGTGAACAACGATGACAGTGCATTGCACCAATTTCTCTCGATAGCATTTTTCGTTTCGTTTGCAGTGAATTGAGATACAGATTATCATTGATTAGAAGACAAATAATTCATGCCATGATGATTATAATGATTTTCAGAATACATGTACTGTGTGATAAACTGATCATGCAACTCAGTCTGGGCTCTGTGTGCTGCACAATGCCCAAATTAACCCGTTATGGGTCTCACATAAGCGTAAGGCGCCGAAGTCACTACAAACTCTTTCTCGTTCAGTTCGGGCATGTTCTGGGAATGAAAAGGTAGATCTGTGGAAAAACTGGATCCACAAGTCAGTGGTGACATGACTTGGCTGTGACTAGCAGCACTTTCAATCCCAGTATAATTGAGACATTATCTCGACTCTCAACACACACCCCACCCAACATACACACACATGCTGTCCCGGCGAGAAAGAGACCATGTCGGTACAGCCCTGAATGGGTAGCGTCCAAGAGTACAAAGAAGTACATGTGCAGTGAAGAACATAATAACGTGACGCAAGAGAACACCGTACTATATAAACCAGTAGCTGAAGTTTCCCTGCACATGCGAATACTGTAAGTCAAGAAATATTCAAATAACCGACGAGGAGACAAGTCGTAAAATAGCAAAGAAAAATATCAATCGTGCACTCCTAGCTATATAACTGGTTGTTTTAGTGATTCTTACTACCGGTATGTGACGATGTTCCACTGATGATAGTCACGAGAAAACGTTCTGGAATTGTTTCATTTTAGTTGTTTTATACATGGTTATGAGTGCACAATTGATATTTTTCATTGCTATTTTACAACAAATATTCGGCGCATATTTATTTTCGGCTAGTATTATCGACCCGGTCATCTTTGGCCGAAATTTTGTTTCGGAAGGTTCAGTGTTACAGTGCACACAGGCGGCACTTTCCCCATGCGTTACCATTGCAGTTGTCCCATGGTAATTCAGCACTACACTGTCCCCACAGGATACCGCGATTCCGCGGACGCGGAATTTTCCGCGTTATTGGTTATCATCCGCGTTTTCGTGAGTTTTCGCATAAATCCCGCGTTATTCATGAGAATGTACCAGAAAATAGTGCATGCTGTTGAAAATGTACTACAAAGTCGTATGGGTTCATGAGAATGTACGACAAAGTTGTATTCTTGCATGAGACTGCACGCTAAAGTTGTACCAGTGACAGATAACTCGTACTCGTGCATAATGACCGCATTAACCCGCATAATCCCGCATATTTGCCACATAATGGCCTGTTTTCGCCCGCATTATAGGATCTTGTACGCGTTATTCTGTGGGGACAGACTACATAAGCCAGCACCCTCGATGGCCCAGCGTCATCTTTAATAAGTAACCAAATTTCAAGCACAGTACAACAATGTCACATCAGCTTCACGGCTAAGACAGATTTTCGTCGCAATAAATCCTGTGCTAAAACAGATGTGACGTGAATAACATAGCCTCTAGATTTATAAGCTCATTGCGCAATGACATGATTTGTACCCTGAACACCCCACACAGCCACCTGGGCATGGTCGTCTCAGACTCGCCCGGGGTGTTGAACAGTGCATTGCTGATCCCAGCGTACTCACATGCATTACTCATACCTTCCATGTTTGGCAATGCGCAATGGGCTAATTGTGGTACAAAGATCGATACAGGGCAGGCTGCACGACACACTGCTCGGCAAGCAATCAGCGCACCATTGGGTTTCGTATGGGCTTCGTCATCCGACTGGGCCAGGATCATTCTAAACAATATAGTGACGGTGTGTGATGCTGTGTTTAATGAGAGAGAACGTTTCGTATTGGAGTTGAACAGAGTTAACCCTTTAAGAGCCACCCCATACTTGAAATTTCAATCCAGATCCTGACTCAGTCAAATCTCGCTCAAATTCAACGATCAAAATATCCAGGTCGAAGAGAAAACTCCAAACTGTCGGGAGAAACAATCTGCGAAGCGCTGCAAGCAACGATTCTCGAGATAAATCACGCGGCAATTTCAAAAGCGCGCAGTGCGACTTGAGTATCGAGAATTTTTATACCGCTTATTTACTCGAATGCGCATGGGTGTCACTTGTGATATTCTCAAGAGTACACAGCGAAAAAATCGGAACTCTGTGATCGACTAAAACGAAATAGCTGGAGCAGGACGCATTTGGGGGCATTTTTTGTACCGTCGCTGCTCTCTAACGCTGGATATAACAGTTACAGTGTGCTGGTTATCATGATCGACCTCATTCATTTTCTCTCGCGGAGACCTTTCCAGGAAGCCCCGATTGAGGCGAGTTTGGTTGGTATAACCTAGAACAGGATTCAGCAGAACAGCACGCTCGGTTGGGACTGCACCTGTTCTAGGTCGGCCAGAACATGTTCTGCTTGCTCCGGCCTCGAGGCCGGAGAAGACCGAGCAGTTTCACTTTTCACAGTGAAACCTGGCAGGAACATTGATTTTGGTCCCAAATGATCACTCGCATACGCTTTCGGGTTGGACTTGGCATGCACTCGCTGTACCGTACAAAGTGACCATGGTGCCCCGTACACCATTTGAAGAATGCAACCAAGTTTGGCACACTTTTCACAAAACGTGCTCTGTTTCTGGTGTACCGGTTGGTTGGCATGAGCCTGCTCCATGTGCACCAGTTGTTTGATCCTGTTCTAGATCGTACCAACCAAACACAACCTGAGTGAGTAGAACTGAAGTTATGATCCAAGGAACACGAAAAATGAAGAATTGTGAAAATTTCCTGTGGCTCTTAAAGGGTTAAATAGGTCTATTGGTAACGTCTATTGGTTGGTAACTTCTATTGGTAACTTGCGCTCATTGCCGTCGCTGCAGGGCCATTCTAAAGATGGCGTTGAGGGTTTCCGAGACTTCTTGGGGCTTCCTGGCGGCATTGACCACCGTGTGCAGGTTCCGTTCCCGGTAGAAGTTGACCAGAGGCTTTGTCATCTGATGGTATGCGCCTAGCCGCTTCTTCAGAGTCTCGGCATTGTCGTCGCTGCGCTTGATCAGCGCCTCACCGGTGACGTCATCAGTCATCTCCACCTTGGGTGGGTTGAATTTCACATGGTAGCTGCGGCCACTTGGCTTGTGGATAAGGCGACCGGTGATACGTTCTACTAGCAGCTTGTCGTCAATGCTCATCTCCACTACGGTGTCCAGGGGCCGCTGCAGGCGGGTGGTCATCTCTTCTAGTGCCTCAGCCTGCGGCACTGTTCTCGGGAATCCATCCAGAATGTAGCCATCCTTGCACTCGGGCTTGTCCAGGGAACTCTGGATCATTTCAATCATCAGACCATCACTGACCAGCTTTCCGGCGTCCATGGTGGCCTTCACTCGCTTCCCCAGCTCTGTCGATTCGGAGGCAACAGCCCTGAGCATGTCGCCAGTTGCCAGGTGGCAAGCACAGAATTTCTCCGCAAGACGAGGGGCCTGAGTGCCTTTGCCCGCACCAGGTGGCCCCATTAGGATGGCATTGATGCCCTTCCTTTTGGTTGTTGAATTACCAGCAGGTGCCATGGCTCAAATTTAGAAGCAACAAGTCTTCAAAACTTCAAAAGGTTTGGCCCCTCTCAACAAGCAGGATCTATGCCAGAGATCTCTCGATCGAGCGAGCTTGCTCGATCAACTCCGATCCGATATTCGTACAAAAAAAGGTCCCATTTCGCGTGCAGTTGGCCTCGTGCTCACCTCTGCCATTTCTCGTCGCCAGGACGACAAGCTGCAAGGTCATGCATCCTCGATCGATCCTCGATCAAGCGCGCTCTCCTCAGCTAGCTGAGAGGTAGATCTACAGTAACCAGGGAACAGCTGTAGATATCTACGAGACCGACTCACGACTGACTGTAATACTACGACTCGAGTCTGTTTTGTTGTCATGTTCGACACTCCTTGCATACTTGGCCTTGCTACTCGGCTTCTGCTAGTAATATGCTGGTTTTGGATGGACTGCATGCGCACAGTAGGTCCTGTCAGTGTCATAATCAAGCATCTGCCTTGTTGCCCACCCTCAAAATAATGATCCACACACGGACACTGCACGTAGAGAAAGACCAATGGCAATGTCGGGCCATGATGCATGCAGTAGCTAAAATCATGAAGTCTGTACTGACTGTAGTGTAGTGTAGTCTTTACATAATTGAGCATAAAACAACGTAGACGTTTCAGCTAAAAACAGTCATGAAGGAATTAATTTTCTACTACGATGTGGTGTGCCCTTTCGCATACATGGCCAGTCGGCTTGTGGAAGGTGTTGCGGCTAGAGCAGGGGCGAAGGTGAAATGGACTCCTGTTCTGCTGGGTGAGGACGATTGTTTTGAGCTATGATTCACATCCATTCAGTACCATCAAGAGTACATAACCCCCCATGTACTCATGGTACCATGCATGCACCAATATGATAATAATTATTATCAGAATGATAATCAGCTGTAAAAAAAAGAAAGAAAAATTAAATTCAGTAGGCAGTGCACTTCGCCATAACTCTATCCGTTAAAAAGTTCGGATCCCAGACCCATCAATAATATACAGTCTGTATCGGCTATAAAGTGACCGGATAGAAGAATATATCGGCTACAGTGATATTGGTACGAAATATCAAAAGCAAAACATTTTATCCAGTAAAAATATCACTATAACCAATATTATCGGATGTAATGATATATCGGATATTATGATGGCAACAAAGAATCAAAACATGCATAACACACTATATTATTATCGGCTATAGTGATAACTTTAAAATACATTTAGCAATAATATCAAAGGCCCTATTTTTTTACTTTCTTCACGTTGCCTATTTTTATAGTGATACCGTAAAGTCCGGAGCAAACGCCCACTTCGCAGCAAACGCCCACCCCAGCGGGTCCATACTATTTTCGTCTTTTTCAGGTCAATATAGTTGTAAACAACTGGCATGAAGGTCGAATGCGTACGAGAACGACTGTAATGCCTACAAACTGCCTATGTCCTACCAGGAGGCTGTGCAAAAGCGTTTGTCATTATCTTCCTGCAAAGAAATAACTTCTGTCGAGATTTCCTTTCATTCAATAAATGTGGTAGTTCGTTCTCCATGTGGTACGAGTAATGCCGCATAAATTTGTGCAGTGCCACGATGTCGCGCTGTCAGGAACAATAATTGTTCTGATGAAGCGTCAGTCAACGGCTTGACTGGTCCCAATATTGCAGTTGCAAGTCGAACAGGGTATGTAACAGAAGCTACACCTACAACGTCGCTGCTAACTTGTTGAAAACTCCGAAGTGCCCAAGAAAAACATTTGCCTTTGGGCGCTGTGTGATCTCGAAATGATGGCTTGAAACACCGTCAGAAGTGTATTTGGTTCCTTCAATACTCTGTTCTTCGGTACCTTGTTATTCGGAAGAAAACCCGTTCGGATTTGCGAAATAAAACAACCATCATTATAAAATCACTACGAGCTAGCTAGCTCGTGGCTATAGCGCTAGTGCACAAAGAGATTTTGAAACCAGGAAAGTGGACATAGTTTACCGTAGCAAAGTGCTCTTCCCGCTACGGTGTGAGATGCACTTTCGTACAGTAGGGGTGACAGTGCATGGGGTCAGTGTGTACAGGCCAGCAGATCTTGCAAAAATGGGGTGGGCGTTTGCTCCGGACTTTACGGTACATGCACAATCGTGTACATAACATTTTTTTATGGAAATGCGGGCACTGTCGACTATGCAGCATGCTCATTTGTCAAAACGCCATACCGGAAGTATTTCCTTGCCTTTCATGTGTCGATCGAAAAAAGAAAAGAAAAAATCGATCGTATCGCATATAGTGATGCATCGGTTATAGTGATAAAGTCACGGAAATCAAAAGGGTACGCTATAGCCGATACAGACTGTAGTCAAGTGTCTCCAAGTCAATGGACACGATGGCTTCTGATATATGCAGTATTAAATATATAACGCTCACGAGAATATACCCCGGTACTTGGCTGCATTCACACATGACCGGTGCACCGTCCCAATGTGGCCTGGGCCGGGAAGTGGCTCACTTGGTCTCTCCCAGTGCACTGCCGCCTGCCGGTTGATGCCCCACAATGCCAGTCAGTGGACCGCGTACATGTACTGCACAGAGACATGCTGGCGGCGAGGGCAGGGAATTACGGAATTTTCCGAGTATAAGCCGCACTTTGAACAGTCAAAATGGGACGTATGCATCCATTTCCCGCCATTAGCTTTTGTGGGGCAAGTCCACTACAGCCGTACACACTGTGATACCAGCTCTGCATAAAAGGTCATGAACTTTGTGAGGTCATACTCATAAATGTCCTATAACGGGTTGTACCTGCCAAGAATGGGGTAACTTGCCCCGCAAAAAGGTGACGGCCATCTTCGATGCATACCTCCCATTCACCCAAGAAAGGGGGTGTTGCATTCTCCGATGATCAAATTAACGGTGATAAATCAAAAACTGGATAGATGTCTGTATTTCGTGGCAAAAAATTAGGGGTGTAGCTTACTCCAGTGCGGCTTACACTCCGGAAAATACGGTAGTGTACATGTACGAGGCTTGTTTCTGGGATGAAGGGCAGAGTAGAGCTATGTTCATTCTCCCGGTCGTCGGTAACGATCCCATCCGCAGATTCTGTCCATGGTCCGGACGAAAGAGGGAACGAAATCCGAATGTAAACAGTTTGTTTGCAGTGTAGGCAGGCAGCGGCGAAAGTGAATTGGCTAGAGACGAGTTAGTGACAGTCATGTTGGTTTGTTTCTGGCTTTCTGATGTTGCACCCTGGCCTAGGCGGACTGTACGAGGCAACAGATGCGCCGCAGGGCAAGGACAAGTCGGCGTCCACCGTTATGGCGCCAGCCAAGCAGGCCATATTCGCTGCTGGTATGTACACTGTAGTACCGCTGGTGCTCAGAACAATCCAGTATTAGCCTCTGGGTTTGTGCTTGGATTATACCATTCAACAGCTTGCAAGGCTGATGAATTGGCCGCCACTATTTTAGCCTGGTCTATAGCACACAGCTGATTGAAGTGGCTTTTTCTGGCCAGTGAATCCCTATTCTTTTTTCTTTTTCTTTTTTGCCCTTCTCTGACTCACGTACTCACTCACTCACTCACTCACACACACACACACACACACACACACACACACACACACACACACACACACACACACACACCTGGCCTGGTGTACAGCTGCCAAATGCTTGGCCACACCGCCCCCGAGACAGGGGAGAGCAGAAGAGAGAGTTCGAGAGAAGTCAGCACTGCCACTAGAAAGCCGCTCCGCCACGACGCCGTCCACGATTGCAATTGTGTCGCCGAAAGCCAGGAGCAGATTTAAAACAGCGATCACAGGTAGCGCAGTGCTGGTTGCAACACGGATGGCTGGTGATTGGTATGCGCTGGGGTGTGGGCGGTGATGCCGTGGCGGGTGTTGTGCACTTGTGCACAGCAAGTCCACCGGCACTTGGGAACCACCGAAGGCAGGCATGGCATTGACGTGCGTCCGGCTGTTCCGCTACAGGCTTGCTGGCGATCAGCAGAACATTTGTGTCGTCCGAGTCCAGATTTACTCTTGAATGTCCGTTTACATACCAGGCAAGAGAGCGGTACCGGGACGGGACACACACACACACACACACAAGCGCACACGCTTGCACGCACACGTGTGCACGCACACACACACACACACACACACACACATACACACACGCACACACACACACACACACGCACACACACACACACACACACACACACACACACACACACGCACACACATGCACACACACACGCACACATACACACACACACACATACACACAGGCACACACACACACGCACACATACACACAGGCACACACACACACACACACACACACACACACACATACACACACACAGGCACACACACACATACACACACACACACACACACAGGCACACACACACACACAGGCACATATATACACACACACACACGCACACACACACACACACATACTCTCTCCCACTCACTCACTCATACATGTGTGATATGACTGTTATATCCATATTTGGCAGACTTGCAAATGCAGCTCCACCGGTTCAAGATTCCTTTCCGTTATCCAACTCTGAACCCACAGCGCACGCTTAATGCCATGCGCCTTCTAGCCGTCTCGCCAACCTCACAGAGTGCCGAGACCACTGGCCCACTGTCCTCGGCGGCACTCGACAACAGTGTCCGTCGTCGCCTATCAGATGCACTGTATCGAGCATACTGGGTGGACGACAAGGACCTGACGGACCAGAAGGTGCGTGCCTTGCTTGATCTGTGTTGTATTAATCTGTGTGCTTTTCTGAGCGTGGTTTGTTGTCTGCTGTTCCTGTCTGCTCGCCCGCATGCCTGTCTGTTCCTTGCCTGTTCTGCAAAATGCCTCTTTCCGGCTGATGATCTTGTATAAGGTGCTTCTTTTTTTTAAATTTCAACTGACAATCATTCTATTCGGTTGCTTTTCACACATATTGTGACATGCTGTTCTGCTTTAAACACTCTACTCTTGCTGTCGATAACACTCTGCTACGGTGCGTTGCTCGTATTTGAAGTATTCTATCTGGCTCAGCTCTTAGAGAGGAGAAGAACTTAGTAGATTTGAGAACTTTGAGTGCATCTAACCTGGTGTGATTGTCGCAATGGCCCACACATATTTTGAGTCGTATCTGTATTAGTAGTTTGTACATGTATTTATGGCCTTCGCCTAAATCAAGGGAGTCTCCGTAGTATACTACCTTCTTCACATACTGTCAGAAGTACGGTATCCCTGAGCTCTGTCTTTCTCTCTCGTGCTCCCGCTCCATGTTGCCTTTACCCAGGTGCTGTCGGACGCCGTCAAGCAAGTCGGCTGGTCAGTCGATGTGCAGCAAGTCCTTGACTCGTCCTCCCCGCTCGGCAGTGAGGCCAAGCAGCAGCTGGAGGCCAACACGAAAGAAGCAGTTGACCGTGGCGCATTCGGCGTGCCATCGTAAGTTACTTGTGTCGTCACGGGTTTGAAATCGTGGACGAACTGCCTCTACGCTCCTCGCCACGCCACACAACAGAGAGCCAGTACAAATTGTTAGAGAGCTTTTCTTCTACTTCATTTCAGCAGGCGCCTGGGGAACTCATAATGGAGAACTAACACTGACAAGGAATGACTGACGACTGTCAACAGACGTCTGACTCTGAAAACGAACGACTGACAACTGACGACGAACGTCGGACAACTGACTCTGACAACGAACGTCTGACAACTCACGACGACCGTCGGACAACTGACTCTGACAACGAACGTCTGACAACTCACTCTGACAACTGACTCTAACAACGAACGTCTGACAACTCACTCTGACAACTGACGACGACATGGCAAAAGGAAAACATGATATCAGAAATTGGTGCCCTCGTCAGCACAAAAGGTGGTGTACTCAGCACAAAAAGGTGCACGTGTCAACAACAAAGCAGCGCAGCAGCATGTACGGGTCAGCAACAAAGCAGCGCAGCAGCATGTACGGGTCAGCAGCACAGAGACACAAATACAGCAGCAGCTACGACGAAGAGACAACACGTGCAGCCACATGTACACACAGAGACACAAATACAGCAGCAGCTACGACGAAGAGATAACACGTGCAGGCGCAGGTACAACACTTGCCTTTTGGTATACGGTGATTTTTACCGTATTTTCCATAGTGTAAGCCGCACTAGTACCGGAGTATAAGCCGCGCCCAGATGTTTTCACGAAATACAGACATCCACCCTGTATATCACCATTCATTTGTCCATCGTACTATAAGCCGTGGTGATTTTGAGGGGGGGGGGGGGGGGGGGGGATTACGAGTGGGTTTTTTTTTGAAGTTGAACTCGGATGATGGGCCAATTTAATTATGGTAACAAAAGGAGAAGGACAAAATGCTACGTTGGTGGACAGTTAGTCATAACTCGTAACATCTTGTCCTTCTCGGTTTTTTTAAAGTGCGGTTTATACTCTGGAAAATACTGTAACTATGCATCCACTAATATTGGCGACTGTGTTACTACTTGTTAAGTAACCAAACCCATGCAATTATGCATCGATGTGCTACTCCTAACCATCACTACCACACGCACACACCAACTACGGCCGCTCCATAGCGGTGCTTTGCGTTGCTACGTCGTTGTTGCACGCGCCCCGTGCGGCAGCTCCGAAACCCTGTTTCTGTTTGTATTTCTACGTTCCTTCTGGTGCCCACTAGGTTCTGGGTGAACGAACGCCTGTTCTGGGGAGTGGATAGATTTGCACTGGTCCTGTCGGCGCTGGTTGGAGAGCGTGCAGAGCCTCTCCGGTTGGCAACTGTTCCCTTCGATGCGGCAGAGCGGCCCGAGCAAAAATTAACAGTCTACTTTGATTTCTCTAGTCCCTATACCTTCCTCGGTGTCTCACAGGTGAGTTTCGCTGCAGGAATATGGATATACTACGTCATAGCAGACTCAGCGGAGGACGTTCATGTAGTGGATCTGGGTCCATATTTGTGTTATAGTGTTTGACCTTTGTCTATGCATTATCTACCCCATTGCCATTTATGTCTGACTGGTGACATCATGCATACTACGCACGTGCACCGTACGACCTTGCGGCATTCACACTGTATGCTGATGGCAACTCATGCTACTTTATCCATAGGTTTTATTCTAGGAATTAGTTAGCTGAAAACAGGACGAAGTTGAGTGTTGTTGTGTGTTTTAGATGACTGCGAAAGTCATTACAGTTCAGGTTGGTCGTAAATCTGAGTTTCATGCCGCGAGGCTATCACCAGACAACTGATGCTTGATCGGTTGTCTGATGAGTGCCTCACAGCATGAAACTCGGAGGAATTTTCAACCAACCTGAATGTCCTCCGCTGAAGGCCGTTTCACGATACACCTTTTTGCGACACGACATGCAACTTGCGACACCTGCGACGAGCTGCAATAACGACACACGGTTCACAATCTTTTTGGTGTTTGCGACGTCACTATATGCTCTAGTAGTACTATGCACTTGCACTGCACGTGCACCCAAAGTAGAAATTGTACTCCATTTGTGTACGTCGCGCGTCGCATGTCACAAAAGCTGAACTTTCTTCAACTTCTGCGACAGGTACCTTGCGACTGTACGCGACAGGCATTTTCTTGCCGCAACTATCGCAAATCGCCTGTCGCATCGCAAACAGTTGTATTGTGAATCGGCCTTGAGTCTGTCATGTTCTAAGCTCTATCTATGACATTGAGCACTCTCTGCAGCTCGGGGATCAACGGATTTGTGATATACTACACCATGTCGTGTTAGGGTGCTCGGGCCAGTGAATTTAATCATAATTGCTGCGTGAAATGGTTATCCTAAGGTTGCTCTTTGCTTGATATTCATGTTAACCAATTTCCATTTCTTCCCTTTCTCTTCAGATATCATCACTTGTCGAGTCCCTACGACCGCTGAAGATCCGTATTGAGTGGGTGCCCGTCCTCCTTGGTGCTGTCTTCAAGGCTATTGGAACACCGTTGGTATGTTGACTTTCACAGCCAGCATGCGGGAAGGAGGGATATGAGTAGAGTTAGAGATAGAGAGAGAGAGAGAGACAGGGGGGGGGGGGGGGATGATGTGTCCTCTGCTGATCACATGATCCTGCAAGTTCCAGAGAGTCAGACAGAGACACCTTGGTTTTCTGGAGTGATTTTTCGCATATGTACGTGTGCATCAAAGCTGATATGCTATTGGCTGTGCTCACATTTGTGCTCACACTTTTTGCTCGCATATTTCTGTACAGGTTCCGATGACGGCGCTCAGCTCAGCCAAGGCAGCGTACGCAAGCCAAGACCTGCAAGACTGGGTGGCCTATCATGGCATGAAGCTAATCTATCCAAGCAACTTCCCGCTGAGAACCATACTCCCACTCCGTGTTTACTTTGCACAGCCGGACGAGAAGCTCCGCACGGCCTTGTGTGAGTGTCTTGTGCAGCGTGTTTATGACTTTTTTTTCAGTGTGTCAGATGAAGATGGTTTCTAGAGGGTGTCATCTTTTTAGGCCATGTTTATGCAGAGTGCTACTACGGTACTTGTGCACTTGTAAGTACTAGTCGTGTGTGTGTGTGTGTGTGTGTGTGTGTGTGTGTGTGTGTGTGTGTGTGTGTGTGTGTGTGTGTGTGTGTGTGTGTGTGTGTGTATGTATATATATGTGGGGTAGTGCCTTTGCTGTTTGCGTTATGCAGAGCTCACTGACTTGTCAGTTTGAGCACTCTGGCAAGGTACGTTCGGGCCTGATTGGAAATTTTTATTTCCATTGCTATCAGGTTCGGCCTCATTTCCTCTGTGCTGCGCTGACGAGTCCACAAAGGACGAAACAGTTCTGTCCGCAGATTGAGTATTTCGCTCCTGCTCTTGTAGCAGTTGAGCACTCTTGCGTGGGGTAGTGCCTTTGCTGTTTGCGTTATGCAGAGCTCACTGACTTGTCAGTTTGAGCACTCTGGCAAGGTACGTTCGGGCCTGATTGGAAATTTTTATTTCCATTGCTATCAGGTTCGGCCTCATTTCCTCTGTGCTGCGCTGACGAGTCCACAAAGGACGAAACAGTTCTGTCCGCAGATTGAGTATATATACACACGCACACATTGCCAATCTATGCACACACACGATGTGTGATCAGCTAATATATGTGTGTGTGTGTGTGTGTGTGTGTGTGTGTGTGTGTGTGTGTGTGTGTGTGTGTGTGTGTGTGTGTGTGTGTGTGTGAGTTTGCTATGTCTAACATAGCTGTTCGCTATCATCACTTCCGCGATGGGCATGTTTGAGGTCTGAGGTGTGTGTGTGTGTGTGTGTGTGTGTGTGTGTGTGTGTGTGTGTGTGTGTGTGTGTGTGTGTGTGTGTAGTTCGGTTGGTGGGTACACTTATGCCTGATTGTGTTGGGTCTGTTGCCAACGGGCTCGGCTGCTTGAAGGTGTATTGTTGTATCTGCCACCTTTGTTGGTTTCAGGGTTCGTATACATTCTATTTGAAGTATACATACCTGTTAACCATGGACTGCTTCTGGCTAGAGTAACTCTTGTGTAATCAATGGTGCTAGTGAAGCTTATATCAGATTCACTCTGATTTAGCTACCCACACTAGTAGCAAGTATTACCTTCACTGGGGACAGGGGTAACTGCGGTTGGATCCCTGGACGGGTACCCTGATGCCCTCAATCCTTTTTCTGCACCTTGTCCTCACCCACTTACTGAGGTGTGGTGAGCCCGTAAGTGAGATCATTTTCAAGTCCATCCAGAGTTTTGGGGATTTCAGGGGGTGTCGGCCATTGGGCGGTTCAATAGCCAATTGAGTCATCTTTCCAAGATTCCCTTTGAGTCTCTCTCCCCTCTCCCGGGGAGACCCACGTGACCAGTTTTGGCAGTGTGCAACAAGTACAGTACAGTACAAGTGTGTGTGTGTATGTGTGATGTGTGTATGTATGTGTGATGTGTGTGTATGTGTGTGTGTATGTGTGATGTGTGTGTGTATGTGTGTATATGTGTGTGTATGTGTGATGTGTGTATGTATGTGTATGTGTGTGTGTATGTGTGATGTGTGTATGTATGTGTATGTGTGTGTGTATGTGTGATGTGTGTGTATACTGTAAAACATGTAATTTTAGGTGTGTTAAAATTTTGGTGCCAGGGACCTGCCAGGTTTCAGGTGTAATGTAGAATTAGGTGATCAGCATTTCCCTTCACATACAGTGCATACTCTGGTGCCTTTTAGGTGTAATCTAAATTTAGGTGCTGGTTTTCACTACCGAAATCACCGAAATTAAAGTTACACCGAAAATATCGTGTTTTACAGTATGTGTGATGTGTGTGTGTGTGTGTGTGTGTGTGTGCATCAGTTTGTGCATGTGCATCTGTTATACTATAGCGACTCATTTCAGTGGTTGTGTACATGGTGGGCAGTTCCCAGACTCCAGTACTTTGGCCACGGTAACCTCTACTGGACACTTTTTCAGGCGCATGCAGTATCTTTGCGCCCAATGTTTGCCGTAAATATTATGACGGCTTTTATCGCTTTTTTTTCTTCGCTTTTTTTGCATGAGTTTTGAAGTCTGAAAAAAATGTTGAACACTCGCTGCTGGGATGACAACTACACCATAGCTTAGTGGTATAGAGCTTTGCTGGCCATAAGCAAGGGTCACTTGTTCGAGTCCTGGTGGTGACAGTCAATTTTTCTTCAGACGTTTCCCGTTTTTAACTCCCTCAAACTTACCGTATGAACTTTTCTCTTCTTTTTCTTTGTGCTATTTTTGCGTTCTCTGTCCATAGTCTCTGCTGCATGGCAGAAGGATATCAATATCGGAAACAAGGAGGTACGTATTGCTAATCGTCCAGGGAGTGATGGACTCCATGTACGGCGCCTGAGTATTCACTATGCACATTGAGCTGTGTCCCTTTGTGCCAGCCAGCATTGTCATGTGACAGTGTTTGTGTAGAAACTGTGCGCAGGATGACGATGCGCAGCATGACTGTGCGCAGCGTGACTTTGGACAGCGGAGTTAACACGGCTAACACCATTGTGACCTATTCATCCAGTGAATGGCTGCCATTTGAAGCAGTGTTGCTACTAGCATCTGCTCATGTGGTAGATGGGAAAGGGTGCTATTGGTCACGACACCTATTTCTGTTCGCGTGTGTTGTCCGAATTGGACATGTGCTGCTCGAATGACCTTTACATGCTTGTCTGTTTGCTATCCGTGTATCTTTGGCCAATTCAGGAGCTCAGTCAAGTTCTGACCGAGGCTGGCTATGATGCACAATCGCTCATGGCGAAGGCCGAAGATCCAGCCATCAAGGACATGCTAAAGCAATCAACTGCCAGGTATGTACCCTGGTCTGTGAGCACATGCATGCACGCACATGCACACACACCTTGACCTTGACCTTGTGTACAGCTGCCAGTAACTGGCTATGCCGCCCCGATGCGGGGGAGGAGAGGAGAGCGTGCAGTCATGACGCCCTGCAGACATGTCGCCGAATGTCGCGGAGCCAATGGAAACGTCTCCCATACTCGCACTCATGTTGAAAAGTGGCCACGATCAACAGGCCTGCACCCGCCTCTCCCACAGTTGTGGCGGCTGAAGCCTGAAGCCGGCACACACACACACACACACACACACACACACACACACTCTCTCTCTCTCTCTCTCTCTCTCTCTATCTCCCCCCCCCCCCCTCGATCTCGATTATGTGACGTACCCATGTTTCATCTACGTGTATCCATTCTCTCATCTGTCCACTGCAGGGGCATCGAGGCAGGTATCTGTGGAGCACCTTCCTTCCAGGTGAACGGCGGACCTGTCATCTTTGGTCAAGATCGTCTTCCTCTCGTCGCTGACCTGTTATGTGGCTGGACACCACCGGATACTCATACCACCAAGGCAAAGCTATAAGGTAGTCGAGATCCCCGTCCCGTTGGTGGACAAGACATACGCCGGCGGTGTACCTTTGCGCCGCCACACGGTAGTGCCTCGGGCGATTCACTGCCGTAACAGCGTCCCATTGCCGCAGCACCATCCATTGCACGGTGCTGTGCGCTAGGCAGGACATGTACACTGCACATCACCCGCCCAGTGTGCATGTATTACTCATATTGGCCAGCTCTCTGTGAGACATGGCAAGCACATTATCATGCTAGAGCTACTGTGTAAAAACTCACAAACCAAATCTGTGCATCACCGCGGGAGATATGAGTTTATTTTTTTATTTTTTTCACTTCTTGAATTTAATGTCGTTTACGCGCGTGAGCACCCGGGTGGATTATGTGACGCTCTCCTACAGTGCTGGAGCGTGCTAGTCTGTCTCTTTCGCCGACGGCATCCGCAGTGCAGGCGTGAAGCTGGTCTTCGTGGTACGCTCTTCTGCGCCCGGCTGGTCCGAATGGTTCCTGTACATTCTTGCACGTTATTAGATAAACCTTGTTTTGGTCGAAAACATGTCATGTTGGTTGGCAGCATGTTACCAGGCGGATGACCACTGTGTTCGGAAACAGTGTGATTGTACATGTACAAGGTTGTAGTAATGTCACTGTTTCCGAACACAGAGGTCCTCCGCCTGGTAACATGCTGTCAACCAACAACATACGTGTATGTGTATGTCTATGTCTACTCCGCCTTTACAGATGCTTGCCGCCTACATTGTAGTTACTCGAATTTAATTTCTGCTTTCTGCTGTAGTCTTCGGTGTACCAGTACATGTAACTTACTGCATGATTGTACCGTAAATAGATTTTTTGTTGGAGGAAAACAAAAGCAGCACATGGAGCACAGAAGCCACTGGAAATGTCGACGGGGCTTTCTACAGCTGTATTACACGTACAAGTATCCATTTCTATTTCTCCTCGGAAACTCGTTAGACTTGGCACTTTGTAACGTACATCATGGCTGTGAATATAATTATTATATTAATTTTATAATACGTTGCCTGCTGGTGATAACATTGTGCAAGAAAGTCTGAGTTGCGACGAACTCTGTACACCTCCTTCGTGCCTTTTGTGCTCCACGTTATTTGTTGTTGTTGAGCCCTCTCCGCTGGCAACAGGAGATTTTCCTCCTTGTACAGTATTATCAAGAGTACATGAAAACCAGAGTGTGCAGCTTGGGGCCTGCGAAATTCCGTGATTACATCATATTTGGCCCAGATATCTGAGGCGGGAAATGGCGTAGTGCGTACAACTGAGCTGCAGTTGTGCAGAAAGAGACCTGCTTGAATCCTGCTTGTACGCACTACATCACTAAAATGATGTAATCACGGAATTCCGCCGTGATAGCCACCCATCCGAGCTGCACACTCTGGTTTTCATGTACTCTTGGTATTATGGCTGTTGCAGGTACAGTAGTACCAAGAGTAGATAATTATAAACAGTTTATCTACTCTTGGTAGTTCTGATGCATTGTACCCACTAATTACTTTGAAGAGTGACGGTAACTTTGAAGAGTGTAATGGAGTAGTGGATGCTCTGCCGGGTAGCTTCCCCCCTCTCACACGCCGGTTTACAAGAGTTTGTGCGTCCCGTCATTGAATACGCGCCTCTCACCTGGATATCGGCTGCACCATCCTACCTTTAACTAATACTTCTGGAGACAATCCAGAGGCGGGCTTTGGGGATAATCGACCCTGGCCTGGCGCCGTCATCCAGAGTCTGTCCCCGGGGAAAATTGCGGAAAAAATCGCAAAAAACGCGGGGAAAAACGCGGCATAATATGGCATAATTTGCGGTGAATTTGCGGTAAATATGCGGTGAATAATATTGATGTGCGGCAATTTTCAGTGAGTATGTAGTGAAATCAATCAGTTACAAGTCTCTGGTGTAAGCACTCGTCATATTTGAGTAAAAAGCCGCCATGATGAGACGTTGCTGACCGAACAGTGCACTGTGTGTACGTGTAGTGCAACAAAAAGTTTAAAAAACGCGGGAAAATCGCGGAAAACGTGGTCTTTTAAAAAATCGGAAAAAACGCGGAAAAAAACGCGGCCGCGGAATCGCAATTTTCCCCGGGGACAGCAGAGTCTGCCACGTTTCAGCCCTGACTTACTATCTCAGTATCTGTACAAGCTGCATTATGCCTTCATTACTCCCTGCATGCATTAGACTTAGAGCCACCCACCCGGATCATACTTTACACAAGGACCAGAATAGGTCAGTCCCCAATAAAATACACACGAGTCTGGACGGTGACCCTCCAGTTTGACGAGCTGTGCAGATCGTGTCACTTGTGCAACCAAGAGCAAGCCAGCATACCGGATTCTAATCAAAGAATAGAGTCACTGAAACATAAGCTGCATTACTGTGTTACGGCGAAGGCCAGCCACCATAAGCAAAGAGTTATAGGTTGCCCACTAAACATCAGCTGTATTTGTTATCATGCAGTTATGCCAGCCATCAAGCAATCTCCTAAGCAAAGAATAGAGTTAGTTTTTCAACTGAAACACAAGCTGATTGCGTTACGGCAATGGCCAGCCACCAACGTCAAAGCCAGATTCCAAGCAGAGTAGAGCTAGGTTTTCAACTGAAACAATAATAATATTGCTGTATGTGTTATGGCAATGGCCAGCCAAAAAACCAAATTCTGCATGTAAGCAGTACAGTAGTAGGGTTAGGTTGTCCACTGAAACACCAGCAGACGCTGTATGCGTTATGGCAATGGCCAGTCACCAAACCAGATTCTAAGCGAAGTAGATTTAGGTTGGTCATTGAAGCATAAGCTGTATGTGTTTTGACAATGGCCAGCAGCCACCATAAGCAAAGTAGAGTTAGGTGGATGTCAGTTACGGCAATGGCCAGCCACCAAACCAGATTCTACGCAAAGTAAGTTAGGTTGCTCACGGAAACATAAGCTGTATGAGTTATGGCAATGATCAGCAGGTGTGTCGCCGAAAGAAAAATCTACAGGTATAAAATTAGAAATGAACAACAAAGATTGAGGGTATCCTCACACTAGGCGTGTGGTATGACAACAGCTGCGGCGTTACAACAGCAACAACAACAACAAGAAGAAGACTAGAAGTAACAGGAGTACAAGAAAGTAATCACCATGGGCCATTAGAATTGCCTGTAACGCCGCACAGTCCGAGGACCAGGAACCTCAGACACGAGTGTGGCAAGTGCTGAAGGAACACGGCGAGCACAAGCAGAATGCATACTAATGTGCGAGGCAGCAGTGGCAACAGCAACGGCAACACACACTTGGAAAACGTCACACAGACTGTTAAATTGCAATGGGTGCACAACATTCGCTGACCAGATGGGCACTAAACAGCTACAGCCGTCACACACTGTGACAAAAAGGTATGGATTTCCCACAGTAACAGAAAGAGTAACAAATGAGGAAATGAGCAACAAAGAAGGAGAGAGAGAGTCCGTTATGAAGCCAGGCAAGTACCCAAGAAAAGGAGAAATGTGCGGTAGCTCATTCTCAAAAAATGTTAAGGAAAAGGTAAAGTTTGGCCAGAAACAGGTGAACGTTCTCTGTTCGTCACACGGGTGTGCTTCGGATCAAGTCCCAAGGAGCAGCACATGAACGAGGAGTGCTCAACCATGCTGACCTAGGTGACCAGGCTCTCTGCGGCATGGTATTGGGAGCTAACTAGGACACTACGACCAGTCTAGTTAGCAATGGACACAGAGGCATATGGTTGGGTGCAGCTGGAAAGGGATGCATGACCGTTTCCCAATGCGGACTGCGTAATGAAGGCGCTGAGGCTCTGGATGGTGATTAAATACTCAAGATGCAAAATAGACGTTGCAATCAATATCCTCAGCCTTCATGCTCACCATCATCAGCAAGGGCATCAAATCGGCTCTTCCCAGTGACGTCCTGCACGAACAATGAACACATTGGCAGAAGGAGAAGATTAGGAGTCAAAGCGTCAGCAGGATTGAAGACCTGCCCACCTCACACACGAATACAGCACTGGTCCGACAGAATGGTTAGAAGCAGGAAACCACAGAGCGGCGCAGTGAAATCAGCCAGCACTGTAGTCACTTCTCTAAGCTGGTTGTGTTGCTCAACACAATCGGAAGCTGGTGGCAATGCAGATGTGCAAACGACTTTTTCACTGTAGTCACCTGTACAAAAGAACACAGTATCAAACAAAGGAATAATTGGGACGGGATGTAAACTTACTGTGTTAGGTTCCTCGGTAGCCGTCTTAGCTGGAGACTTGCCCCAGGCAGGCTTGGCAGGAGGGTTCGCGGGTAGGCGGTCCTCTTGGCGGGAGTTGCCTCGGGCGCCACCACGCTCATCACGAGAACCACGCTGTGCCGGGCGAGATTGCGAGCTCTTCTTGCTGCCGGCTGTCTCCCAATCGCCATCTTCTTCAACATCAGAGCCACGGGCACCACTGTCGGCAGTGGTACTAGGTTGAGGGGCAGGAGCAGCTGAGCGCCATGACTCCCCACCTCGGCCACGTCCAGATTGGTCACGGCTAGATTTCTGATCAGTACGCGGGCGCTCCTTCTCCTTCTCGACAGTCTTGATCTTCTCGGAGCTCTTCTTGGCTTCGACTTCGCGTTCACGAGTTGCGGTGTCAACAGGCCGGGCAGCACCAAAGATTGATGATTTTGCAGTGCTGCTATTCGAGTCTGCCGCCTCTACTGGCTTTGTGCGCTTCTGCAGATTGAGGCGTGGACGCTCGCCGCCTGAGGAAAAAACAAACAGGGGAAAGAACAAATACATTAGACAGTGCAACCACAAACAAACAACAAAAACTCACTAGATATAACACCACCACTGATAGCAAGAGTACATAACCCCCCCCCCAGAGTGTGCAACTCCCACATACCCTGCTGTCCCGACAGAATTTCAAGTTGACGTCATTATTTATGACGCAATGCTCCTTGCACCAGTGATTTACAACATGTGTACGGGTGTCAACGCATCACACGTTTTTCTTTGCAATAATTTGTACAGGATCAGATCGGCTTCGGTCAACCACAGGTTCCGGATTCGTCTGATAATCCGTGTACAGTGCGCATTGCATCATCAAAATGACGTCAACTTGAAATTCTGTCGGGACAACACCCATAGTCGAGTTGCACACACTTGGGGGTTATGTACTCTTGCTGATAGTAAGAGCCTACATGAAAGAAATCTGTGAGATATGATATTCATCCACAGCAGAGATCATCCCATCCGTGATCTGGGGCCCCAGGCCATCGGCTAATCGTATTTTAGATCAGGAATACATTCATTCAGACAGAAGCAGAAAATATAATTGTGCTCACATAATTACATTATAACGCGTGTTGTGGTATTATTATTTATTCCCGTAGCTATGCAGAAGACGTTACTTCAGTAACGTGTGGCGCTAGCCAGGGTCCACACAGCTTTAATTTGGTGTTTGTGTGTTTGTTTGTTTGTGTCACGCCTGGCGCTATCCCGTATCTGTCCCGTACCGTACCATCAAACACAGCTGGCCACATACAGCTGGCCGCACTATTCAAATAGGGCTTTCAAACGCAAGATCATAACGTGAAGCAACTTGGAAGAATGGGTATGAATGCGAAGTGTATGGGGGAATGCATGTAGGGCGATAGTGCGGGTTCGAATCCCAGGATATGCCTGAAAAAAAAAAGGAGAATTGAAAAATGTATAACATCCCTATGCTTTTTTGCCGTCATCAAGGCGGTAGACGGTGTCGTATTACCCTCGATCGTACATGTCCCGTACCTACATTGTATCCCGTACCGTACCATCAAAGACGGCTGGCCACAATGCATATTCAAATAGGGCATTCAAATGCAAGATCATAAGGGGTCGTCCATAAATATCGAACTTTTTTCACAAAACGAAATAATTTCGTTATGGGGTGGGACGGGGTTGACCAATTTCGTTTCAGAAAACATTGATCCATGCACATGGCCGTTGTATATGCATGTATGTCAACATTTTTTACGTTCTGATGGGGAGGGAGGGGTTGGGTCTAAACTAAAATAATTCGTTTGGTGAAAAAATTCGATATTTACGGATGGCCCCTAACGTGAAGCATCTTGGAAGAATTAGTATGTATGCGAAGTGTATCGGGGGATGCATGTAGGGCGCGCGATAGTGCGGGTTCGAATCCCAGTTTATGTCTTAAAAAAAAGGAATTTTTTAAAGAATTTATAACATCTCTATGCTTTTTTTTGTCTAGGTCATCAAGGCAAAACAGCATAGCGTAGGGCCCTGAGCTTCCGAGCTCTCTCGTTATGATTACAGCAGAGATACAAGGAAAAACACTTACTAGGTCTGCTGGGGCTTCCATCACGAGAATTACCAGCGTCCCGCCGTCTATCATCATTGTAGCGGGGTGCGTCCCTGCGATCGTCGTACGAACTACCTTGACTGCCTCTATCATTATAGCGGGGCGCATCCCTGGGAGCACTGTAACGACTGCCTTGTCCACGGTCGTCATATCGACTGCCTTGTCCGCGATCGTCGTATCGACCGCCTTGTCCGCGATCGTCGTATCGACCGCCTTGTCCGCGATCGTCGTACCGACCGCCTTGTCCGCGATCGTCGTACCGACCGCCTTGTCCGCGATCGTCGTACCGACCGCCTTGTCCGCGATCGTCGTACCGACCGCCTTGTCCGCGATCGTCGTATCGACCTCCTTGTCCGCGATCGTCGTATCGACCTCCTTGTCCGCGATCGTCGTATCGACCTCCCTGTCTACGGTCATCGTATCGGCTGCCTTGTCCGCGGTCTTCATAGCTGCTGCTCTGACCTCTATCAGTACGACGTCCTGGCGCGTCATCATATCGAGACGGGGATCGGGATCCTGGTCTACTGGTGCTGCGCGAATCACGGTCTGATAGAGGGCGATCACGACCACGGTCGCCACTATCATCGCCATTGCTTGATCCAGATGGATGTCGATCACCGTCACCATTCCTGCGTGGTGCACCGCTGTCACTGGAAAGGCTACTCCCACCATAGGGACCAGCACGGTCATCTCCGCGCCTGTCACCACGGTCATCCTGTGAGGGAGGTGGGCCACGTCGCCAGTTGTCCTCCAGGTCAGCACGATTAGGACTTCCCGTCCGGCCACCACGGCGGCTGTCAAAACGCTCATCCCGGTCACCACCTCCTCGGCTCTCATAGCGATCTCCTCCGCCGTAACCGCCTCCTCGGCTCTCATAGCGATCTCCTCCACCACCACGGCTATCATAGCGGTCGCCATCGCCAAAGCCACCACGGCTCTCATAACGGCTGCCACCACCGTCATAGCGATCACCTCCACGTTGTGGAGCAGGCTCATACGCATCCTTGGCAGGACCATTGCGCCAATCTCCTGTAGTGCGGTCTTCCTCGAATGGGTTCCTCATGCCAGGTCCACCACGGCCATCATCTGCAGAAAATCAAGTTCAACAGAAGACAAGGGGACTTCTGGTGAATCCAGAGAAACACTATGATATACACACGGGAAACTGTTGCAGGACAGAGATGATGACTGTGCACAAGATCATTAGATGTTACGTACATGCACCTACGAAGCACATACTATGAATACAAGCACTTCCTCAAGCTATAATATCTGCGTATCTCATCTTCTCTTATCCAGTTCCCCGCCAATAAGTGGGCAGGTTTACAGCCTGCAAATGGACGGCACATTTCTGTGATCTAGTTCCCTTGCTTGTCCGCATAATTCGGCGAAAACAAGTGTGTTTGGTTGAGCGAGGTCTCTCTTCATCAGGATTCTATTGTCATTGAAAGCAAATGTGTGTATCCAAAGAGCTTCCCAGTATGTGCAAAATGTACAAGTGATCATCCATGTACAGTGAAAAACCGAGTGGGTTTGAAATTGGTCCGAAGCATCGAGTGTGACTGTGATAAGGCCACACGTTTTTATTTCTATGTTTCTCGTCACCTGAAAATCTAAAAACGTATGCGAGAGGTGGAAAAAAATAAAAAATGACCGAAAAATAAAAAAAGTTTATTAGACCTTTGTTCACACTAAAATCCACCAATGCACCTGCAAAATAGCATCCATAGTTAGGAACTAGTCTGTGGTACATGGTAGGAGTTCTGTCAAAATATGTGCATGTGCAGCAATAAAAAATGCCGTCCTTGCATCATGTGTCGCGCAGGCCAGGCCATAATGTGCATGTGCATGAGTGTGCTGGTCCCCACATGCACAGTCCGTGCAGCACTTTTTTTTCTTTTTTTCTTCCAGACTCCTGAATCGTATGCGAGCGGGTGACGAGAAACATAGAAATAAAAACGTGTGGCCTAATATTGACTTACCATTGTTCGATGCCAGATCTACCTTGATGCGACGATTCTTTAGCATCTGTAGAAATACAGGAAAAAATCACAAACTTTATCACCTTTTACCCAACAGAAGTGCTACAAAAAAAAACAGTGCTAACAGAGATACACACAACTAAGAATAACAGAGTATAGGTTAATAATTACCTCTCCATTGAGTTTCAAGCCCTCCGCCAACTCAGTTCTCGTATGGAACTCTGCATAGCCGAAGCCCTTGATGCGACCACCGCCTTCAGTCGGGAGACGAATTCCAGCCAACTGAACAGAGATAATCAAGTCAATACAAACCACAAAGAAAGATGAGAAAATCGCACCCTGGAACCTGTCCAATATTGCTAACGATGACTTCACTAAGGCCGAATTCTGACTTTGGGAGTCCATTACGTGGCCGAATTAGGACACTCTCTTAGCGGATTTCTTCATTTGCCAGGTGCTATGTATACATACATGGTCTATGTCTTCCCAGAGAAAATTCCTCTAAAACATGGCCAAAACTTGCCACAGTTTGATACAAGAGTAGTACTTTGATCCTAGAGGGTGGTGGCGTTCCCACGGCGGATGCGGAAAACTCGGCTTTCAGCCGAGTCTCACGCGAACCGTGAAAATTATTTTTTATTAGTACTTAACCCTTATCCGACCGGCCAGTCAAAAATCGACGACTATCCGTCGATGACTTTAACATGCTGTAACTCACTTAGTTTTGATCGAATCTGCACCATTTTGGTCTCAAAAGATGCTGGAAAGACCCACCATTCATTTGCAAAATACCGGAGCGTCTTAGCAGCTTTCAAAGAGAAGTTTTAAGTCTATGAGCGAGGTCTGTTATCGCACCGCGTACGAAACAAATTTTCAAATGGTGTAACTTTGGCAATGATTACATTGCCCTCCTAAAACTTTGCCTGCATGCTTCCCTGATAGTATATTCAAAATGTGTTAGCATGAAAGTACAAAAATTAAGACTACAAATAGTCCCCATGTTGATGAGCCGTACTTCTCTTCAAAAAATGGAATTGGAGATGGAGTTTTGTTCCTCTTACAAATGAAAGCTAGAAACTGTTTCTAGAGAATTCCTCATGGCTCAAGCTTTCCAAAAAGCCCAAGTTTGCCAATATCTCGCAAGGGAAACTAAAGTAATCAACAAAATGAGTCGCGGCATCTCGCTTGGACTGAGAATTTGTCCACTTTGACGGTCGGATAAGGGTTAAAGTAGCAAGAGGTTGAAGAACCTATGTGTCCAACAGGTCCACATTGTCATGAACTCAGCTTGGATGACTCCTTGCATGCCAGCCACAGAATAATCAACAGGTGGTACTTTGCCATGCAGCAATCCAATCAGCGCATCGCCATGGTGGCGCAACTTGCCGCCACACGGCATTTTACCCGTCTGCCATTGTCAGGATTTTCCGAATTCCAGATGTTCCCGTTTTTGTTCTGTTCTGATGTGAAAGATTTGCTCATACGTAACTAAAAAGTGCAACGGTTGAAGAATGGTGATTATTGCGTGTTAAAACGGTCACGTTTACATGTAGGCGAAACTACTGGCACATCAATGGGTTTACTGGTAATAATAAATTTAGAACTTTAATTTTGAATAGTTTGAGGGAAAGACACAAACGGGAAAAGTCTGAAGAAAAAATTGACTGTCACCACCAGGACTCGAACCAATTTTAATTTTAGAACAATATCATGGTTGCACAATTTTTTTAAACTAGCACATCGGCGACCATCATCAGAGAGTGAACTGCATCATATTACCACTCTCCGACCATACAAAAGAGAGAGAGAGAATGGTGCAGGAGAACTGTACATGATGCTACATCACACTCACCTCCGATTTGAAAAAATCTTGGATATCCTCCTCCACTATATCATAAGGCAAGTTGCCAATGTAGGCAACAAATGGAGGACGCTGGGGAAGCCGGCTGAGATCGACCTCACTGGGTCCAAGCGCGGCCCGTGGGGCTTTTGGCAAAGCATGTAAGTCAACCGCTGCCGGTTCGTAATAGCGACCTTTGACAGTACGGTCAAGCACAAAGAAAAGAGAATATTTTTTCCAAAGCTACAATGCACGCACGCACGCCCACATAAACAATGGTTTCAAATCGAACTTCTTCTACAAAGTGGCACAATCGACGTTCAAGCATTAGATTTCCTTCGTGAAAGACAGCAACGGACGAGCTCCACAAAAAGAAATCTAGACAACATGCAAGAGGAATGACGAAGAATACTTCATTGATTTCAAACCAAAATAAGGATCATTGAAGAGCTGTGAAAGTTACGAAGCAATGAAAAATCATTTTCAACTCCATATCACCGAAATCAGACATGTACATAAACGATAATCTACAACAAACTTGAAAAGTGAACAGAGAAGGAGAACGAAATGCATCCTCACAAACTCCTTACCATCAGAAGCAGCCTCCTCAGAGGCATCAGCCCAGCTAGTGGAGCTGCGTGTGGTGACTGTCGTTTTGTCCAAAAACTGGTCTAAGGTCATCTTCGTCTTCTTTTCCTTCTTTTTCTTCTTTCCACCACCTACATGACAAGGGGTTGACATTATTCTCAGTTAGCTCCAACGAAGAAGATGGGAAGATATGAAAGGGGAAAGGAACTAACCTTGTTGCGGAGTAGAACCCTCCATGGCTAAAGATCTAAGCAGCGATCCTTGTAGCGGATTACACAAATATTGAGTTCTGACTCAAAACAAGAGACTGGTAAAGCCTACGTGTAGTATAGGTTGCTGGCTGAAAGAACGATTCGGCTTCTCCAAAACAACACCTGAGGATGATGAAAACGACAGATACTGCAAAGCTACATGCAAGTATCAAAGCAACACTCAGAGTCGCTCAGTCAGAGAGGATCCAACACAACAGCTAGCCAGCTCCGTTGACAAACGCTGCAAGCAATCGGTAGAGACACACAACAGCCACCTAGCCATGTGCGAGTTTTTGTATGGCGTGCATCAGCTGAACAAGATGGCGCGGCGCTAGACAGAAGCCCGCTATCGATATCGCTAGCCGTGGGTGGCACTGCCAGTGCAGCTACTGCATACTGACAGTACTGTAGTGTAGCTCAAGGTGTACTGCGCGGCTCAGATCTGCTAGTGCAGATCAGAGCCGTGTGCATGCATGTGCCGTGCTGCCAGCTAGCACTCGTACTCGATCTACTAGGTGCATGCGGGGCCGGGGTCGAATCAACCATAATCATAGCCTACGCGCTCGGGATCGTATTCATGGTATTCTCAGCCCCTGCGCTGGCAGTGGTATGAACCACTGAACCAGGGAGTAGTACACCGGGTATTGTACTACTCCCTGGTATGAACTATTAATGTTACTTGCTTGGTATTTTACTATTTTAGCCCCCTCTTGAACCTTCTATGTCATTCGGATCTTTAGTTGTGCATTGTACTGTTGAGATACCGAATTCAAATAAATCAATACCATACCAACCATAGTGAACAGTAGATCTACCACTCATCCTTTATTGCTGAACCCACGAATAATTGTGATACAGATTGTAAACCATGCATTCGAGGTAAAAGAAAAAGCCCTTAAGGCTTAATAAAAAGACAGTACCCACTACCCAGCCAGTACCTAGTCTCAACACTGTTTAGCTAGCTAGCTACCTGAGCTGTCTGAGTAAGCATGGTAAGAGCCAATAATAAAAGCCCTCACTCTATGCCCCCCTCCAGCTCCCCCAGCTTGTGATCAAGCGCTAAACTGAGTACATGTACATTACGAAATAGAGGTTGCGACTTCGGCGATGATCAGTGTGGGAGCAAACCCATTCCTGTACATGTACAGTCATGTACATTGTAACACATTTCTCAAAATGCGAAGACTCCACTGTAGCCATGATCCACTATATCCATACATGGAAAAGGACAACATGTTACGAGTTATGACAAACTCAGTGTCCACCAACGTAACCAGATCTTATACAGTCAGCGAGTGCGACAAAATGGCACAAAACTGACGAGGAGTAATGAGACATTCGGCGACCTGACACCTAGCTCCAACACTTCTCCAAGGCGCAAACCAACAACCTTCCAACTTGGAAGGCTCAGGTTCGGAAAGGTCCAAGAGGGTTGTCCTTTTCCTTTCTTCACCATAACTTTATTGGCTCACCATCCGAGTTCAATTTTAATATCTCTTTTTCTTTTAGTGATTGGTGTAGCCCAGAGACCGTCGGCGTTTGGAGAGTGTTGTGAAGATGTATGGATGTACATGTACATTATTTGTAGGTACTAGGTGCAAGTAGATCTACCTCAATTGTGTTTCGTTTGCCCGTAAATATGAGGCTGCCGGTATATAAAATTAATGACAATAAGTGACGTGAAGCCTGAAGGATTACAACTAAAGTAATTTTTAGCTACTTTTTACATGTTTTGGCTGGCAGTCGGAGAACAGTACATCATAGTACCGGTACATGTAGATCATATCACGTCATGATGCAGTGCTCTGCTCTGGCTCTGAGTATGAGTCTTGCCTCTTGGAGCAGCAGCATCATGACATTAGCCCACAATCCACATTGTACTCAAGTCAAGGAGTCAAGCTAGCTCAACTGATGCATGAGGGGTGAATTCTGCGAAACACGTAGTCTGTGCACTGAGCCGGGAGCGCGTGGTGCTTTCTTGCAGGTTTGCCAAGTCAAAAAGTGCTAGGAAGGTTCGACGGGTTTCTCACGTGCATGCTCCAGACGTTTTGAGCAGACACTTTCTTCTTGATACAGTCATGTAGTTTCCTTCACTATTGATTTGGCATTTGCACAATCATGTAGATGACTTTGCTTTGGGAACTGTGTGTCGCTCCCTATGGCTATGGTATGTGGGAGCTCGTGCTTTTCCCGCCGACTTTAATCTCACTTGTCGTGTTGACTGACTCACGACTGCCACCCAGAGCACACGAGAAGTCCATCGAACCTTCCACTGTACTGAGCCAACCTGCAAGAAAACACCACTCCCTGCTCAACTTGATACCCAGTGTTTCGGGGAATTCACCCCATATCAGCTGAGCTTGAGTAGGCTAATGTCGAAAATTGTGCTCCAAGACGGCAAGAGCACTGCATTACATCGTAACATGTACATGTACATGTACATGTATGTATGGCGCTCTGTAGTAAGTAACAAGGGGGAGGGGTTCTAGGCTTCTAGCCTAATACTTCAGTAGTAATACTAATAGCCGGCCTAGCCCGGTTACTTTAAAGGAGGTGACGAGTGCAGGGTCGACCTCTAGCTTGCTCCTTTTGTCTTTGTGCGGAGAGTTGAGTGAGAGTGCCCACCCAGTTTGTGGATAAAGTATTACGTTACCAACAAAGTCGCACAGCGGAGTCAGGTAGGCATATGCGGATAATGCCGGCAGAAAAATTGGCATAATTCGGTACTCTTTCTGGTAAGTTCCATGCATGTTTGGTATGTGGATAAAGAAATTGAGCAGAATTCGAGGAATTGCCCGCCATAAGGTTTGTATGGTTCTGCCAATTTCACTGCTTTTCGAGCAGAATCTGCCACCTTTTCGAGCATTATCCACCAATGCCTAGCAGTCAGGAGATGATGCAACTCGCAACGTTGCAACCTTTGCATGCCATGCCATGACACAGCCCCATCCCATGACCCATGCCCACATAATGTCATTGCCCAGGCGGTTTACAGTTACACCAAGACTCAAGAGTACACGAACAACGGGTTTCATGACTGAGTCTGTACGCGTCCCATCGCCCGTCGCATCCGTGGCAAAACCCCCTCTGTGAATCCCGCTTCATACTGCTTTATGCTAGCGCTGCCATGCCAAGATGGTGGACTACAGTCAGTAGGTGTAGCAAGAAAGACCCATGATGTTATGTCGAGTGTGTGTGTGTGTGTGTGTGATCCCCGGTAGCCCAATTGGTAGGGCACTGTCCCGGAAAGACAGGGGTGCTGGGTTCGCCGGCATCCCGCTCGTGGATCCTTCTTTTGCAACACTTATACTGGCGCCTGGCAATGGCTCGAACCCACGACTAGCTGACTCGTCGTTTTTTCCCTTGGTGTTCAGTGCTGCTGGTGGATCATGCGGAATTTAAAATTAAAAGGCTTCGCTCGCCTTCCTCAGCTCAGTTCCTGATCTGGAGCGACTGTGTTCCTTGCTTGCCGACAATGGTCAGCCTGCTACGAGTACGAGCAGCTGTATACATGTACCAGCATCCGCGGTCATGGTTTCATGTAACTGTTGTAGTTTTCAGGCGGCAGCACTAGCGCACTCCAGCTCTGTTTTGCACTTTCTTTTACCATGGTTCTACAGCCAGGGAGTATAAAGTAGCACGGTATTGTACTACATGATTGTACTTCCTGGTTATATCCGTACTTCTCCATGACCATGTTTGGCTAGCCCAGCAAGTCTTGCTGCTGCGGAAAGCTCTGGGTTTTTCTTATAAAAAAGAGAGCAAATAATTATCGTGTCCGTTCCCCACGCGCACGTGTCCACGGCTCATCGCCAGCATGCTAGCAGCAGAAGCAGCAGCACCTAGCGGTGGGGGCGAGGGGATAAGTCTCACGACCAATACCAATGCCATGGCACAAGCCGCAACCATGTACCCCTGCCCTGGCCCTTGTGCCACAAGTTCTACTTCACCTCCTCTCCGCATCCAGTCACACTGTGAAGTCATTCACAGTAAGTACGTTCTTAATTGAGAAACGTAGATCTACTTACTGTGCATGACGGTATGCACAGTGCTCCTGGATGCTACGAGGAGGCTCGTAGGAGTTCGCCGAGGCTCCTCCAATTTATATTATTTTTTGTTCCCAGTTCACTGTGGGGTGATCTACGGCTGGTAAACTGACCACTCCCCCCCCCCCCCCAGGCAGGACTTGAACCAGGTAAAAGCTACCTCTCGTATCTCAATCATGGCCTTAGACCTACCCACTGTGCCTCTCTGGTCCTTGTGCATGTGGTGGCATGGCACAACAGCCAGAAGAAAATGATCGGAAAGCTATTAATTATTATCTCCTCTCTCGTCGACAAAGACAAGGCAGGGCCACCGGAAGCAATTTTTGATTGGTCCGGTAGTATTGTGGCCTTTCATACTTTCTGTATCGATATGGTGGATACAGTCAACTTTGCGTATAACGACACTCGGCCGGGCATCAGAAAGTGTCCTTATTCACGAAGTGTCGTTACACCCGAAGTCTCATTACATGTATACAGGTAGAATGGACTTTGCTCTGGGCATGGACATTCTGTCGTTGTTCGCGAATTGTCGTTATATCCGCAGTCGTTATTAGCGAAGTTGACTGTACACAGGCCCTCCACAGTACTAAACACCTGCTGGTGGCCAAAAAGTTGGTCCGGTTCCGGCAGGCCTGCAGGGAGAGGTGCTCAATACCGGTATCAAGAGTACAATAGACTCATTTACTCTTACCGGTATCTTATACAATTACCATAAGGTCTGAGGTGCCCGTAAGTTCAAGTGGCTCACCATGTCTCAGTAAGTTGACAGCTCCAGCCAGAAGGCGACAGTCAATATTGGTAATGCAGAGTGGGCTCGTTCGGCCTTGGAACCGGCAGAAAGCGGAAATGAGGACGGATCTAAAGCAGGACGGGACACGGGGAACGTTCTCTTTTTTTTTAATTTCAGAAAGACACAGAAAACGAATAGAAATTGGAGGGTGTCAGAAGGCTTTGAATTTTGAGCAGTTCTCACAAGCTAAAATAATTATACCGGTAAATAAATATTGGGAATTTAGAAATAAATATTGGTTTCATAATTATAATCATGGCTGGGTCTGCTATAGTGGTAGCTTGCAGTCTCAGCTTGGACCGAGATGAATTTCTCAACAGTGAATAGATATCAACCGTCAAACGGTACCTAATCAGCAGATTGTTAGCTTGTCAGCCGTTTCCAGGCGTAAGGCGCGACATTCGCCGGCCAAATCTAACCATGGTATGCCGCAAACACAAGTAAATTATTTCCGAGCGGCTCAGATCTTCTCCATAAGACCGGCTACGACTGGCTGTGTTGGCTCTGCTCAGTTAGCTGGGCAATAGATGCAACAGTGAACAGTGAGAACTGCCCACAAACAGAGTGACTGACTGGTGCATTCGGTCTTCGGCCAGGATGCACACGCTGCTTTGTGGAAGGTGGAATAGAATATTGGCTACGCTCATGCAATTGATGAATACGCTCCACGCTGCCGCAAGAAGTGCACATTGGTGTGATTTGCCACGAACGTTGCCGCCTGTGCAAACGGATCGTACAGACGAAGGAGCGAGACACGAATACCATCCCCCGGGCACAACAGTACAAGACGCGTTGCAGCCGCAGCGTCTATCTTGCACGCAGTGCGGTAGAATGTTGCGATGGTGCTGCTTGCGCTCATGAGAAGGAAGGCTAGCCGGAGAGAGCGTGGTATGGCTAGATCTACTTTGCACTAGTCCAGAGCACACTGCAGGTGAATAAGATGGCGTGGCAATGATGTATGTACATATACGTCACATCGCACGACCAGCAGCAGTGACTGGCCTGGCCTGGGGGAAAGGCCACGCGTCGACCGGGGGAAGGCCGTGACGTGCCTAGCCCAGCTGGAGCAAGGTGGATTCCCGTCAGACAGTTTAACTTCACCGCCCGGGCACTGCCACCTGGCCTCCTACATCTGCGTGTGCCAACGCTCATCTGCTCGTCGCGCCGTCACTGCCTGGGCTGCTCAGGGCGGTCAGCTCCTCGGTGAGGGTCTCGTGGCGATAAGCAATGCGAACGTTGGGTATGTTGGAGCAGCGTATCTCGTTGCCACGCACGCCCTCCAGGTCGTAGTCCTTGCCAAGCCAATGCTGCTTCACCTGCAGGAACATGGCATGTACATACAATGACAATTCGTGTAAGTCGACAAATAATATTTCGGACGGTGAGAAACTTTTGCCGATCTTGGAATGAAACTTTGTCCGTCATCAAACTTTGGCCGGCCGACCGGGGTTTTCAAAAAGAAATCGATCGGTAGTTGCTGCTCTCACATGCAGCCATTGCTCAATCTTGCATCATTTGCCTCTATGACAAACCTTGGCCTGTGATTTACTTTGGCCGCTTTGCATAAATTGCCAGCGAAAATTAGTTCATACAAAAGAGAAAGGACCAATTATAATTAAACCTTGGCTCTCCATCCGAAAATTAGTTCATTTACAGTACTTCCATTCCGACTCATAGGTTGTGATATGCTGACTCATAGGTTGTGATATGCTGACTCATAGGTTGTGATATGCTGACTCATAGGTTGTGATATGCTGAGAAGAATGTGACAAGTATGATCTGCTAGGCCATAGATTAGCATAAACAGTGAACCCTGTTCTAAAAAGGCATAACCCGTCATCCAAAACAGGCAAAAATTGATTCAGATCTTGTCAGACTTCCGGGGCCAAACTAATATGGCTGAAAGCAAAGCCTGCAGACTTTGATGGCAGTGCATTTCTGCTTCATTACAACTCAGGCAACATTTTCACACACCCACCCTCCCCCATTGGAAACAAACAAGGCCAGGCAGTCTTAGTGCAGGCAAAGTAGTAGTGAGTGCTACCCAGAGCATGTTGTGACATATCCCACCAGCATTGAGTTAGCGCTTACACTCACACTTCCATTCACACCTTATTCCCCGCACCTACATCATCTTCTTGACCAGGGAGTTGTACGACTCCTTGTTCTTGACCTGCCCGGCACGCGAACCCGTCGAATATATTTATTTTATTTTTATTACATCATCTACACTTGCATTGTGTTAGCTATCACCTATGCTCTCCCCCTATTATTATACCCTGCTATCGACTCCCATTGAGTATCTATTCCTCGGTTCAGGGAGTTGTTACACACCGGCGCGCTAAGGCAACATACCCGATGCTCGAACCCGCTCATCAGCACACTGTTCCTGGCCAGCTCGGACAGGTCACAGGAGTTGAGCTTCCACACCTGTGCAGCTATGCTATATTCTTCGATGAGAGGTTCCTGCAGGACAATGGTACACAAAAGAAAGAGATGCACAGCTAACTTTAGCTGAGAACACGTGTCGCCTCTCCTCCTCCCCCCCCCCCCCCCCCCAACTTTGTCATGTGTCACTGCAGAAGCACGCACTGATGTGTTCCACCATGCATACACACCTTTCTTTTTCTTTTTTACCTGTGAAGAACCAGGAACTACCAGTTCTGGGGCATGATTGATTGGGCGAATCCCGAGCAAGTGCGCTCCGAGTGAGCGTGATCGTTTGGTCGAGTCCAATCGAATCCGGAGTAGGTGTACTTGGAGTGGAATCCAACCACACCGGCCTCCACACCGGGAGTGGAAATGGACTTTGCCGTTTTTGGACAGTTTTCACAGAATCTTTGTACGATATGCGTGCATTTCGCGTGCTACACCCTTATTTCGGTCGATTGGGCCAGCGTTGCTCGGACCACACCGCCTGGTCGCACTCAATCCAGATTCGCCAATCGATGACACCCCTGGTCAGAGAAATCCGACCTCATGAATAAAGTAGTGCCACATTCAAGTGCACAGAGTGGTGTGGGTGCGCGCGCGCGCGCGTGTGTGTGTGTGTGTGTGTTTGGTGCTGTAGAACTGCATAGAACCCCCAGCAATGATTATGTTCATGAGGTAGGATTTCTCTAACCAGGACTGTACACGCAAATCGAATAGAACCAGGAACTACATGAGCCCTCCAATAGCAACGTGGGTAGTTGTGAACACAAAGTTTGTGGCACTTGTGATCTCAAGAGAGCCTACCTTGGTGTAGTGGAACATGAGTGGATCGTCCGTGGACAGCGAGATCAGCAGGCCACGTGCGCGGAATTCCGGCAGCGGGTTGCGCGTGTAGTCCAGGAACAGAGAGTTGTTGCTGAGCGGTGACATGGCCACACCGACCTGAGCCAGGTAGAACAGGTACTGCAGAGCTGGTACCTGTCGTTGTAGAGTGGAGAGAGAGAGAGAGAGAGAGAGAGAGAGAGAGAGAGAGAGAGCATGTGTGTGTGTGTGTGTGTGTGTGTGTGAGAGAGAGAGAGAGAGGAAAGCTGTTAACGAGCGAATGAAAGGGCGAGCACATGAGATGATGGCATGCAGAGCAGCTCAACTTATTGGTACATACGTACAGGAATTTGAATTCAAACGGGAAACCTGTCCGAAATACGACTAAAGAAAGAGGCACGGCCCATGACGGGTACATCCATTTGCAAATCATGCACATGTGTTCTGTAGAACAATACTCTTGTTGCGTGCATACATGTACATATCACCCACCCCTTACTCCTTCAAACACAAGGAGATGCATGCACCCTGGGGAAGTACTCACCTTTCTCAGCAGCAGTCCGTGGGAGATGTTCTCGGCGAGAAGGTACGCTGCAGCCAGGTGCTGCACCGGCCCGCTCTCGCCGCAGTGCGGTCTCAGTGAAAACGTGCTCAAGCCTCGCTGTCTGCGCAGCGCGTATCACCCATGCACATATTCAAACACAGCAGCACACGAACGCATGCGGGCAAAGAGAGAGGAAGAGAGACACTAAACTAGACATGGATATGTCCCGACACGTTCAGAAGTTAATAGCAGCCCAAGGGGAAGGAGAGAGGGGGGGGGGGGGGTCACGTTTCCGATTGTCATGCCTACAAGTACCTCGACGTTGATACACGCAAAATACAAATGTAGTCGAATTACTTCAAAAAATCATCAAAACGATCATTTCTGTGCTGTAACCTTCACACTTCACTCGTATGTATGCACTCTGGACAAGTCCAGAGACTTGAGGCTACACCGGAAACACCCTCATGTCTCCTGTGCTCGTGCATGCCGCTCTTGCACTCTGATGCACTAGGCAACTGGCTGTGATTGTGGGAAATAGAAGAAAGAGGACTTTTTTTAAGTTAGGAGCACTGACCGTCTCAGGTTGTTGAGAGCCGCTATGTTGGCATACATATAGAAGAGGTAGTAAGCGTATGGTGGGTTGCGTGTAGACGTCCACTGAGCTGGCTGCGGCATGTGCTTGGACAGTGCAACCTCTGGTTTGCTCTCATCGTCCACACTGTCGAAGCCAACTACCTGTCAATGCAAGAGAGAGAGAGAGAGAGAGAGAGAGAGAGAGAGAGAGCGAGCGAGCAAGCGAGCGAGAGGGAGAAATAAGGACACACACAGACGCACATGATAGGATCGGTACATACGAAACAATGAGACACAACCAGGCATAAAACAGAAAAAGCAATCAAGACAATCAACAAACACTCAGGGTTACTTCCACTACATTTGTTTCCCCCTGACAATCACCGTGCTAACAATAGGCTGGCACTGTTATGGTTAGTATAAACACGTGTTTTCTTACTCTAATTGTAGAGTATTGTAAAACCTGTCAAGGCGACCACTCCGATAAGGTGACCACCTGTCCAAGAAGACCACTACAACCAGGACCAAGGGATGTTATTTCCAGTCAAACGACCCTGGATAAGGAGATCACCTGTACACGGGGACCAGTTGTAAGGTCCCTTGAGCGGTCGGCTTAGGCAAGTTTCACTGTCAGGGGTGTCGGACACGCCATGGTCACTACTGCATTGACCGTACCACTTTTTGCCTCGGGTTCCCTGTGAATCAATAAAATGAATTGTAATGATTTTGGGTTCTAAATTTCGAGAATTTTCAGGCGAGGTCCTTGGAAGAGTACTTCAGATGGCTGACCGCACCACCCTAAAATACCTTGCGACGCGCCTGACCGTACTCGGAAGATGGCGCTACTGACCTGATCGAGGAATCTGTGAATGTCAGGATACTCCTCCGGGTACAGCGTGGCATTGAACAGCGGCAAGAAGATGTTGCTCAGCACCTCTTCGAAGCTCTGAACAAGCCCTTTCTCGCGATAGACATTGCTGCACGAGAGAAGTGGAAACAGTTGACAAGACATAGCGTGATCAGTGCAGCTACGGTACTGTAAAAGCCAAATATATAACGAAGTAATACTGAGGAGTGTTGTGCGAAAACTAGTTCGAAGTACGATATTTGTTCATCATTTTTTCCATATCACATTTTTTCTTTCTTCCATGTTCTTCACTACCTTCGTATCCACTCGTTTTTTGAATACAATAAAAGCCTTTGTGAAATGTCGGTTCAGCTCGTTCTGTTGATCGCAATTCTAAAAATATAACGAAGTGCTAATTCTAACGAGTTAACGAGGAGAAATCTGTCGTTAAAATAGAAATCGTTATACGGAAATCGATACATATACTGTTACTATTGAGCGTTGGGAATGAGTGAGAATCGTTACCTTTGGTACACGTAAACCAGTCAATTTTAGGAAATCGTTATTATATGCGCGCCTCGATAGAATAATGGCTTTTACAGTAAGTCCTAGTTGCCCATTGGCACAGTGTATCACTTTGAAAAGATTTTTGGTTGAAGGGAAACAAACCAACACAAGCAGCACAGAAGCCATGTAGTTGTGATGAGCCCCTTCACACCATTACTCTTCAAGCCAAATACAGTAGTGATTAAAGCCGCAGCAAGCAAGTCATTATATCCGGCACTTCTGTACACTTTAGCGTGAAGAAAAATGGAGTGCCCCGTCTAATACACTTACAACAAGCGAGGCACTTGTATCAGCCAGCGCACATTGCTACTGCGCAGGTTGTTGTCGACCGCCCAGGAGGCCAAGCGCTGCCACTCGTCGGGAGACTTGCCGTACACGCTCAGCCGCATCTCGGCCATCTGGTACTTGCTGTCCTCCAAGTCACTGATCACCTCCTGTGCAGGACAACGTGTGCGGCAGGCGCAGCGTGGGTTAAGGATACATGTATGCATGCGACTAACGACCACCCCCTGGGGCCAGAGAAAGCGGTCTTTAGCGGCAGGCGGTCCTTAGTTAGAGGTTTGCACCGCACAACCATAATTATATGAATGTGAGGCCGTCCGTGCCTGGCGAAGTGGTCGGCAGTACCAGGCTGGTCGCTAGTCACGGTGGTCTTTAGTTACAGGTTTTACTGTAGTACCAGGCTGGTCGCTAGTCACGGTGGTCTTTAGTTACAGGTTTTACTGTAGTACCAGGCTGGTCGCTAGTCACGGTGGTCTTTAGTTACAGGTTTTACTGTAGTACCAGGCTGGTCGCTAGTCACGGTGGTCTTTAGTTACAGGTTTTACTGTAGTACCAGGCTGGTCGCTAGTCACGGTGGTCTTTAGTTACAGGTTTTACTGTAGTACCAGGCTGGTCGCTAGTTACGGTGGTCTTTAGTTACAGGTTTTACTGTAGTACCAGGCTGGTCGCTAGTCACGGTGGTCTTTAGTTACAGGTTTTACTGTAGTACCAGGCTGGTCGCTAGTCACGGTGGTCTTTAGTTACAGGTTTTACTGTAGTACCAGGCTGGTCGCTAGTCACGGTGGTCTTTAGTTACAGGTTTTACTGTAGTACCAGGCTGGTCGCTAGTCACGGTGGTCTTTAGTTACAGGTTTTACTGTAGTACCAGGCTGGTCGCTAGTCACGGTGGTCTTTAGTTACAGGTTTTACTGTAGTACCAGGCTGGTCGCTAGTTACGGTGGTCTTTAGTTACAGGTTTTACTGTAGTACCAGGCTGGTCGCTAGTCACGGTGGTCTTTAGTTACAGGTTTTACTGTAGTACCAGGCTGGTCGCTAGTCACGGTGGTCTTTAGTTACAGGTTTTACTGTAGTACCAGGCTGGTCGCTAGTCACGGTGGTCTTTAGTTACAGGTTTTACTGTAGTACCAGGCTGGTCTCTAGTCACGGTGATCTTTAGTTACAGGTTTTACTGTAGTACCAGGCTGGTCGCTAGTCACGGTGGTCTTTAGTTACAGGTTTTACTGTAGTACCAGGCTGGTCGCTAGTCACGGTGGTCTTTAGTTACAGGTTTTACTGTAGTACCAGGCTGGTCGCTAGTCACGGTGGTCTTTAGTTACAGGTTTTACTGTAGTACCAGGCTGGTCGCTAGTCACGGTGGTCTTTAGTTACAGGTTTTACTGTAGTACCAGGCTGGTCGCTAGTCACGGTGGTCTTTAGTTACAGGTTTTACTGTAGTACCAGGCTGGTCGCTAGTCACGGTGGTCTTTAGTTACAGGTTTTACTGTAGTACCAGGCTGGTCGCTAGTCACGGTGGTCTTTAGTTACAGGTTTTACTGTAGTACCAGGCTGGTCGCTAGTCACGGTGGTCTTTAGTTACAGGTTTTACTGTACATGTATGCACGTGTGAGGGTCGAGAATATTATGTAGAAGCGGAAGCCAATTCAAAATTATTCATGCAGAATGTGGAACAGAGGCACCCAGAGCTACAATACACATCCGAAAACAGACCTTGATGCATCGGCATACAGCACGATGGATCAAACGCTCAGGGGAGAAACACACTGGCATTGACATTGCAGTAGCTTCCAGTCATTGCCACAGTCTTTTGCATGAAATTCAGAGGATGTAGGTGCTGATCACATTTCCCTTGTCATATTCCGATTTCGGCGAGATCCAGAACTACCTTGTGGCACACTCTGGTAGCTTGTATATCGTGGCTGTAGTCTACCCCAGGGCATCGGGCACGCTACGGCATTGAGTTTACTATTGACCGTACCAATGTTTGTCCCAGGTACCACGTGAATCAATAAAATGTACTGATTTGGGCTCTGAATTTCATAACAATCATGTTTAGAGGAAAAAGAAGTCTTGAGCTCCGTCCATGTTCAGAGGAGCCAACCAAACACCACGAGTAAATTGTACATGTACTTCAGGTGGCTGACCATACCGCCCTAAAACACCTTGCAGAGCCCTTGAACCCAATGGCATAGTGAGTACAAAAGTCAAGGCAAGACTACGGACAGCCAGTGGCAATACCTTACCTGCAGCACCTCGCCGTAGTACCGACCCTTCACGTGGTTATCCGACTTCAGGAAGATCTCACGCAGGCGACTCTGGCCTGTGACATGCCGGGGTGGGGGGAGAGACAGAGAGAGAGAGAGAGAGAGAGGCACACACACACACACACACACACGTGAACAGCAGAGGCACATCCGTCCATACATCGCATGAGAATGCACGTGCAGTGACAGTGTGTATGCATAAAAAAGACAGAGGAACACAAATGTAATAACTAAACGTTTTCGTTCCGTGAAAATTATTGATACTGCCGGATGTCTCCTAAAAAACATAAAAATTGAAATTATGTTGACAGATTTTTTACTTGAAACTCGGATGTTGAGCCAATATTCATCATCATCAGCCCTTTCGCGTTGGCACCGGCGTTAGCCTGGCCTTCGCTTGGGCCACACTCAATGTTAGACATGATACCAGAAGAGAGCCATTAATGTAAAAAGGAAAGGCGGCATATGGTTATTCGTTAAGAGTACTGTCCACCACTGTAACTACATACTATAATACAGTCAGAAAGTGCGACAACTAGGCACACAACTGACAGAGTACTGTCAGTTTGCTGTTGGTTAGCGCTTCGGAGATGTATCGGAGCTAGGTGTCAGGTTGTCGGATGTCTCAGTACTCTGTCTGTTGTGCGCCTAGTTGTTGCAATTTCTCACTGTATATAGTATCTAGTTACAGTGATGGGCAGTTCCTCTTTTTAAGGAAAGGGACATATGGTTACAAAATTAATTAAAACTGGAAGAGAGCGTGTGGGCTCTACTCTTATCTGTTTATGCAACTGCAGGAAGCCTCCCCACTTTTACTTCAATTAAAAGTTGTAACCATAACCATACGTCCCTTTCCTTTTCACAGATTTTTTACTGTTCATTATTTTGAGAGATGTGAATAGGGACTGCGTCATATTGAACTGAACACTGTGCACAAGTAGCAAATTTCAAGACACGTGATGCAATACGAGTACTAGCAGTGTAATGTGCCTTAGTCCGACTGTAGGCCTTGCTTACCGATGGGGTTGTACTTCAGATTGAACTTATCAAAGCGGTGGAACGTATTGCGATCCTGCACACGCGGGCAGACAGGCGGATGCAGACACGCACATGCGTGGACACACACACACACATGTGCACACGACACACACACAATGCCAATGCACACATAATTCCCCACATTCCTAGCAAGGTTCACATTGTGCAGGAGCAGACAATGAGTTCAGCTACAGTAACCTGCACAAGGTAATACATGACACTAGTATATTATTAGAGAGAAGCTTGGTGCTCTGAGTAGAGAGGTTCTGCAAAACGAAAATGCGCACGAAGTTAGTTTCGCACGGAGTTTGTGTTCTGCACATTTTCGTAGTTTGCATGCGTCAAAGTGCACGTACGCGGTGAACCCGTCGTGTGGTATCTCACAAAAACTTCTCACGAAAGTTAATTTCGCGTCCAAAGTTGCGAAAGTTCTTGCGAAGTTTCTCATTTCATGACGTAGAGCGAAAGTTTATACATAGTTTTTGTTTTGCAGAACCTCTCTCATACCAATCACAAATTACATATATGTATACAGGGAAAGAGCTAGGTAAAGCCTATGTCAGGATACAGCATACCCTTTCAGCTTCATTTACAGGGCTGCTCAATGAAATCCGATCGCGTGACTCAAGTACGCGCCGGGCGCTGAGCAGCCCTAGACCTGCGAACACCGGGACGTGAACTGGTGCAGGGCGCAACGTTGATTCGCGCGATCGGATTTCATGGAGCAGCACTGCACATGCAAGAGGTTGAACCAGTGACGAGGCCTACTAGTACACTGCAGCCTGACACCTAACTTCAGGCGCGTAGCTCGTGTATGGTCAGCGTTGTCCGGTCACCACACCAGAAAATGGCCGTCATAGGCACTATATTGTCAAAAGAGGCAAAGTGGCGGCTATGAGGTTGCCGGTGGTACATGGCCACCACACCACGGATGTTCGAGCTACGTCCCTGAACTTAATACATTGCTGCACAAAATGGTCCAAACGTACAGCATGCATGTCCAGTCGGTCTACGGACAGGTCGTAGGCGGTGATGTTCAGACTCTCGAACACCTCCCTCAGCGACATGCCCCTGCCGTCTTGAACGCACACGATCTCGTCGGGAGACAGCCTCATCTTGCGCTTGATGAAGCGCAGCAGGTGCTTTTGGTTCATGGACGACGCGGCGTGGATGTGCGTGTCGACCTACAGCAGCAACAGCAGTAAAGAATGGCAAGGGCATTAACGAGAAGGATTTTCAGGAACAGTTTGATACGCAGTAGAAGATCGCCTATGCTCAGAGACCATGCAATGCAGGTATTGCGCAAAGTTCCAGCACGCTAAAGCCACCTGTTCAAAGTTTGCGATTCGGGGCCTCTCGCAAAATTCGCAAACATTTTTACGTCGCAATAGTTACCCGTTTTACAGTAATGAATCTCGGTGAAAGTTGTGCAATGAACCGTGTATGAGTAAGCCCAGGACGAGAACAAGTGAAGATTCCGCAAGGACTGCTTGCAGTCTGATGTGGAATCTGCCGGAGCTCCGAAGTGTAATAGAAGTGTAATAGAATAATGGTCCTTATTTGGTATGCATTATCAGAGCAAACAAACAAACAATAGAAGAATGGCCCTTATTTGGCATGCAATATCAGAGCAAACAAACAATAGAAGAATGGCCCTTATTTGGCATGCATTATCAAAGCAAACAAACAACAGCATTGGAACACACAATCATGGCTTACTGCTAGTCAAAAAAGTTGAAAAAACCCAAGGCAGGCCCCTAACCTTGCGAACGTTGTAGAAGTCGCGATGAGGAACACCGCGCTGGGCGCCCAGCTCCTTCTGTTCGTTGAGCAGCTCGTGCATCTGATAGCGCAGCTCCAGGTAGCGCAGGCGCCGGTAGCAGAAGCTTTTCCTGTTCATCGACGGTGAGTACACACAAACACATGAGACCGGTGAAGTGGGTACACGTACAGTGCATGCTGCTCAATGAAATCCAGTCGCGTCGCTCCAGTATGCGCCAGGCGTTGCACTGCCCTAGACCTGGGGACACTGGGCTGCGAAATGGTGCAAGGCGCAAACTTGAGTCGGACGCGACTGGATGTCATAGAGCAGCACTGTACATACCGATACTAGCAGGCAAAAAAAGAAGAGAGCGCATTGATTATCCAAAAGTTGTAGTCGCACGGCCACTAGGTGCCATGAGCAATTATGAGCCAACGACTTCCATCATGAGTGTCATGAGCTCAGAGCTAGCAATATACACGTGCCAATCGGTTCAGCTGCTGAAACTGTAGGGTCAAGGAGCGTCCAACACTCTGCCCCTCCTGCTAAAAAATGCATTCGTAGTCATGTCTTGCTACTTACACAGGACCGTGTACGGACAGGGCTAGCATTTCCTTGAAGTCCTGGACAAACACCAGGAAGTCTGGCTGCTGCAAGTCCAGCTCGACTTCACCACTCCGCACGTTGCCACTCTCGCCGGACAAGGCCGCCTCGATGTTCCCCGCATCGCGACCGGTATTCTGCCTAATGCCATTATCTCCGCTGCACACACCACCGCTGGACTCCGGGACCCAAACACGGGCGATGCCGTTGACCATTGCGACGCGCCCCGGCATCGCCTGCGGCAGCGTGACGTCGCCGTAGCTACACTGCGTGTCAGACTCTGAATGCGACATTGAGAGCTGCTCGGCCTTGCAGGCATTCGCAGAGGAATCACTCTGCATACCAGCTGGAGATAGAGTGAGACAGCAGTCAGAAACCAGAACCATAAGTCAAAGCTGAATACAGTAAAACCTGTCAAGGCGACCACTCGGATAAGGCGAGCACCTGTCCCAGAAGACCACTGCAGCCAGGACCAAGGGATGCTATTTCCAGTCAAATGACACTGAATAAGAAAACCACCTGGTAACAGAGACCACGTTTGAAGGTGCCTTGAGCGGTCGTCTTAGACAGGTTTCACTGTAGATGCAAATAAAAGTGACGGGTTATCCTATGATTCAGGATGACCTACACAAAAAAGGCTTCGCCATGGGAGAGATTCTATGGAGCCTGGGTGCAGAGTCACACACTCTGGTGCAGGTACTCTTGTTGTTCTTGTGTTCCCTTAGGTATTCTCATCACTCTGATAATCTCGACTTCCGGCTGTGTCACCAGTTCTCGTCACCTAGTACATGCACATGTATGTAACTCTCATTTGTTAACTGAACATACTCTATTTTCAGAAATTTTCGGTGCTCAACATTTTCGGTATGAGGGCAAAAGGCTGGGTTAGGTGAACAGAAATTTTAGGTACAGAGAAGCAGTTCCCTATTGGATTATGTGTGTTAGTGTTTGTTCGGTGTATTGAAATTTTAGGTATGAAACAAGTGCACCGAAAGTACCGAAAATAACAGTACACCGAAAACTTGTGAAATTACAGTACTCCTTCCACGAAAATCGTTATCGCGAGTTACTCCTTCATTACTGTCACATTCTCAATGAAATTTCAAATTTGAAAACTGTGTTAACGAAGCAGGGCTTCAAGTTACTGGAGCCGATGGCAGAAAACAGTAGTGAAAGCTTGAGAATTTGAAGACGGTGGCTGCTCCTAACGGAGCTCATGTTCTCTGTCAAATGACTGACGCTCGACTGGCACAAAGCTACGGTCTCAAGCCCACGGGAGTTTAGTTCGTAAAGTTTGAGAATGAAAGTCAAATTCAGAAGGGGATTGCAAAAGCGCTACATTGACTCTTGCCCTGTGTTATAGTGTTTACTCACATCCACCCGGACACAGAATACGATAGGTGGTGGAGCAGAACGGCTGGCAGCTGCGCCTCATATACTGCTCACGAAGGACCAGGGCATCGCGAATGGCCGGGTGGACCTCCTCAACCTCGTTGGTTGTCGGTTGCATCTACCACAGAGAGGGAAGGGAGAAAGAGAGATAGGAAGAGACAGTGAGACACAGTGTGAGACAGTGTGTGTGTGTGTGTGTGTGAGAGAGAGAGAGAGAGAGAGAGAGAGAGAGAGAGAGAGAGATGTATAGAGACAGCGACAATACACACTGTGCACAGCTACCAGCCAGTCGCGCCAATGGTGATGAGGTGTAACATGGGATCTCCACGTGCGTCACAATCAGCACTAATACCTTGCTGTATGAGTACATTCTGCCTCGGCTACTAGCTGACCATGGATTTTACCAAGCTTGTACTGTGTACGCTGTTTTAGTACTAATGGATTTCAGGACCGTCGGAAGCAATTTTTGATTGGTCCGGTAGTATTGTGGCCTTTCATACTTTCTGTATCGATATGGTGGATACTGTAAGACATGCTATTATAACGAGTCGCAAATTTAACGATTGTCCAAAATTCATAGGTTTACGAGAAGATATTATCTTCTCGTAAACCTAAGGCTATAATACTACCGGACCAATCAAAAACTGCTTCCATTATGTTAACGATCTTGCAGTGTTTCGGCATATCCACACACAACATATATGAAGCAGTATGGCCTCAACGGATCTTATTATCACGAAGAAATGTCATCCGTTAAAACGTTAGATTTACTTCCTTGTTATATATACATGTCCTACAGTACACACTATTACACAGGCCCTCCACAGTACTGAACACCTGTTGGTGGCCAACAAGTTGGTCCGGTTCCGGCGGGCCTGGATTTGGCCAGTCAGGTTGGTTGGCATTTCGGCCGTACATGCTAGAATTCACACTGAATCGATAGGAACTGTCAGTACATGACACTCACGGGCTGGTTTCAGCCTGGCTGGGGTGGTGACCTCAAACGCGTCAATCAGCCAGTCAATAGTGTGAACTGCGACGTCAATCACAACACAGTGAATTGCTTCAGACAATCATGACAGGCATGATGCAGATTCACTGCGGCTAGCAATAGGGTACCCGTACGTACGCATGGCCAGAAACTCCGTGTACGTAATTCTGGACTGGGCTGACTTCCACCGTTTCTAGCGCCGGCTGAAGTTACCCAAACAAATACGGTGGAACAAAGCCGTATTGCAGCGATAACGCTTTTCCAGAACTTTGCAATAATGCTTTGTTCCACCGTGTTTGTAGGGAAGCTCCGTCCTATTTGGACATTGAACACTGTGTGAACAGAAGACTAGCCTTACTGTGCGTACGGTAATATTCAGGGCCTCAAAATACTGTCTAGGATTTAGAAATCCGGTCGCACGTCTAGCGGCCCCAGGGCGCTGGCAAGGCAGCCGTGAGTACGCCTACCGTGCACACAGTCATTATGATGCTATGCGCTGCAGCGCGCTGGTCGCATCGGATCAACATGTGCACTGCATGCAACGTTCTGTACGTGCTGAGGGCGCCGGCCCTGGTCAAATCGACTGGATTTCCATGTCCACGACAGTACCTCAGAACAAGGCGTCCGGTGTTTGACCGACTAAGTTAAACTGTGCTGGGCATGCAGTGCTCAGGGGGAAAATACACGGTGGACACTCGGCACGAACACGGGAAAAGCAGGAGAAGTTGTCGTGCCGGGTGTTCATGTGGTCGTTGACACAAGGTGTGGTATTGTGGATGCGTGCCACCATGAAGTTGGGTGATGTGCAATTTCGACGTCTGTGATTCTGTTTGAAGGACTGGTGCCCCCCCCCCCCACTCCCCCAGACCCAAGCACACAGTAGTAGTCCATACTAGTAATAATCATGAGTCGTCCTACCTGCCCACTGCCTATCCCAGTTATGGTCACCCTCTGAAAGTCCAAGCGACTCGCCTCCTCCGGAAGCAACAGCGAGTGTGCCGTCTCGGGGCTCAGAGTGCCAGCTCGCCATGTCATGTCGTCAATGGGACAGTCGGCACCCTCCACCTTGCGATCCGGACCACTCATCGACCAGTCGGCGAACAGGGCACAGTCGCCGCCCACGCTGCCTCCATGATGGACAGGCGGCAACGAGCCTGACGACGGCCTCTTTGGCACTGCGACTGGCGCTGTCACTTCTGGACAGCTATCTTCGTCCATCCTGCAGTTTGTCCCGTCCGCGAGGAGCGCCGTCACTGATGTTTGGGATCGAAATGTAAATTTCCGTAGTGTTGTGCAATTATAGGTCAGTGTACAGAAAGTAGAGCTCTCTGCGGTTTAAATCCGGAGCAGAAGCAGCTGTCTTCACTGGTGAAGCTGCGTCGGCACCAGGGCCGGGGGAAAAGCAACAAATCGTAGAGACGCCGTGAACTTCTGCGATCACGCCTGTCCGTGCTAGAAGAAGAAACAAAAATACTTGTAATAAAGTGGATCATGGAACTGAGTGAACCACAAAAGCGCTAAATTATAAAGGTTTTTGTACCCGAATGCAGCAGCTTTGAAAATATTACATGTAGAACTACGTGTGGAATGACGCAATGTTAGGGACATCCGCATATCCGGTATCCGTATCCCCCTCCGGATCGCGGAGCCGAAGCAGGAAGCAGGGAGTCGGACAAAACCGGGTTTGTGAGATCCCGAGATCCGAGGGAGATCCATGTATGGAGGGTTTCTTTCCGGCCCCGGTCTACGGGTGCGAGCTACAGCGCCTAGCGCCTGCAGGCCGCAGTTCCAGGGTCCGTTTCTTCCTTCCAAGCGCTAAAAGCAAGTCGGTCTCCCTCCTTCATCGATCTGGACTTTTGTTTTGTGTAGTTCTCGGCGTTAGAACTATTACTTAGAAGAGTAGTTTAGTGAAATACTTGGTACTAGCACGAATGCTGCTACAAAACCACGGATGATCATTGTATGACCTCGCGGCCCGAGAAACAGCAAAGTCGGAAAAGAACACGGTAGTGAACATCTCAGCTCAGCTCTTCCACCAACAATAATAATAGAATAAATGGGGTAGAGGCTCTCAGCACCAGCCTTCTTGCTGCTACAAATTTTATAAGGATATGTTCGCACCACATCGGAGGTGGTGGTCTGAATTATGAACCAGGAAGTGATATTTTACTGTTCCCTGGTGTGAACACGTTCACACTGCAGCGGGTAATCCACGTGACAACACCGCCTCTCTTCATCGCGCTACGACTCGTACGAGTTCTACAAAAGAAGAAGCCAACACGTCGGACGTCTGCTCCAGCGCTTTGTCAAACCCTATGCAGATACTAGTACTCTGCTGGCAGTGTTATGTGTATACTGGTTCGGAGTTCCTCTAGCTATATTTTTTTGTAAACCTAACTGTGGCCTGAGCCTCTACGTAGACCGAACCTAGGCTAGATGGTGAACAACTACTTCCTACAACGCAACACGCTGAAGAATACTCGGAATAGAAGCGCGTGCGTTCTCACAACTTGTGCGTGTCCCCTGTCCCAGGATCTTACAGGAACGTCCAGGCTCGAAGAACGTCGAGGGACAAGCCCGCAAACCTCATTCCGATGTGAATGGGTTTCCTGAGACAGAGACCCTACCATAGTCAACCCAAGCGGAGTTTGTTATCCAGGAACGGGTACTCCAAAATGTCACACTTCCTCTATGCGTCGGGCCCACCCGCCTCACTTCGTTGTGTCCGGCTCAGCATTAGACTTCAGGAGGAATACGGCCGTCATCTATGGTAAGAACAGAAACTTATCACGTTTTTTCATTGTTTCTCGGTCCGTTCTACTTGAGCTACAATGTACTTGTTGCCTACTCTAAAAGAAGGATTTCCTGAAAATAGTCCCACACCGAAAACAGGTGCCGATTTGTAATCATGGCAGTGCAGCAAAGTACATGACTGTATTCTACAACTAGTGATTGACCGGTATAACGCAGTCCTCCGCGCGGTTGTAAAGCATCATTCACAATGCAGTATTTTCCTGGTATGATTCATGCTATTGTTTGGTACATATACATGTACATGGATACGGAAGAGGCGCAGAATTCGAGGAACTACAGGTCCACCATAAGGTTTGTGTGGTTCTTACAGGTTCAATGCCCGGTTTCGAGCGAGCATTATCCAATCCATCACATACTGAGGCCTACCTACTCCCAGCCTGAGGTGCCTGTTCTATGGTACTGTGTTTTTCCCTGATCTGCAAAGGTTCCTGGTTTGAGTCCTGGTGGTGAACATCAATAATTTGTTCATCACACCTTTTCCTAAAGCTACTCATGTACATGACACGTGAACGAATACAGTGACCTGCTTCCAGCGACCACCCAAGGGACTTTACAGGGTCCCGTGTTCAGGGTCATCAAGTTGACTGGAAATAATTAATATCCCTCGGCTTGGTCCTGGTTGTAGTGGTCCTCTAGGACAGGTGGTCATCTTATCAGAGCGGTTGCCTCGACAGGTGCTACTCGGATTTCCTGTTGTTTCTGGCTGGGCTGGCGTCATAATACTACATACAATCATGTAATTACACTTCAGCCAGACTGCAGGCTGTGCATGTCTGGTGAAAAGGAGCACTGGAGTCACAGTGAAGTCAGCATACGCTCATGCTTTATGGCCATAATTTCCTACATGTTCTTTAGACCTGTACAGAACCCGATGCAGACAGACGGCAAACTAATCCTCAAAACGTTCTGACTTCAGCAGAGCTGTTCCACTGTAAACTGACATCCATCGGGCCGGACTGGCAGTGGAGTACTGCAGACTGTGATCTTGCCTGCTGCCTATTTCTATTGTTTCAATGTCTGTTTGTTGTTGCTGCTGCCACCGCCGCCACCACCACCACCGCTGTTGTCGTCATTGTTCTAATTCCGAACTGTAATAACAGTTACTATTAAATGACGTATAAGTATTTGGATGGTGGCAACATGAACTGCCGATGGTGGGGTAAAGCCGCGTGACGATCAGCAGATGGGTAATAATATCAGGAAGAAAGATGTGAGGCATGTTGCCAAGCACACGGTGGGGAGCATATTTGGCAGCACGGATATGACCAAGACTCATGCCTAGCTCCTGTCTGAGAGCTAGAATGGTGTGTGACGTGAGTACTGCAGAATTCACCCCACATACATACAGGCAGCCTGTCAAAGATGAGGCCATGGATCCCATGGATCCCATGGACCTGATGGACATGGAGATGGACATAAAGAATCCGAGATGGAGTTGGAGATGGCTCGCAAAGAGCGGATATGCAGCAACAGCTACAGCTGCTCGCCAGAATCTCAACACAGTTCACATGGGTCAGCTGGATCTTGCCGCTGCTTGCTGCGCGCCTGTCCACATGCAGCGGATTTTTTTGCCTTTTCCGAGTTTTCGGGTCTAGCCTGGCATGCATGCGGCTACATATGTAGCTCGGACGACGTCATGTTTGTCGCGATCTGCGACACCCGCGACACTGGCTGCTGCATGCGCATATGCGGACGGTCCGGCCGTGTTTCCACACTTCCTAGCCGTAGATCTGCGAGTACGACTGCGAGTGAGTAGAGCTAGAGATCGAGCGAGACGACCTCACGTGCACATTATGCATACATGCACAAGTCGATTTTATGCCGGGACTTTTTCGTAAGTCCCGACGGGCTTGCGTGTAGATCTACATGGTGTACGCGTACAGCTAGACGTAGACCAGCAACATGCTTTCTGCCGGTTCTGGCATCTGTCATGAACGAAAAAATCTCCACTTCGATCTCAATCTTACTCAGCTCTTGCATATCCACCATGTACCATGCAGTGTTTCGTGCGCTCGGTTGATAGTGGCTGAAAATAGATAAGGGAGGGAGGTCTCTCTGGGAGTGACAGAGATTCACTGTTCTTGTCTTGTGGGGCGGCGGCGTTAGATGCAGTAACGAGTATTTTATCCAGAGGACGGCAGCGTCGTGCGCTGGAGGTGCTGTGGCCATGCGCACATAGCCATTGCAGGCACACAGCTCGCTGCTGGAGGAAAATAATTATAATTATCATGAGCCTACTGGGCACGGGAGAGAAGAAAATGATTTGCTGTTCTGCAGATGTGAGAGGGAAGATGATGGTGGCGGCAGCTGTTATAGTTTTTCTTGTTTTCACCACTGGTCTGACTAGTGCGAGGCCAGTAAGCGTTTGTCCGAGCTGGAGCGATGGCCGAGTGCCGCTGCTGGGGTTAGACGGGCACGCTAGTGTTGACGTTGCGTTGCCGGGACTGGCGCAGGCCAACAACGAATTGCTCGAATGCCGTGTGCGACCTGGGATGACGATCAGCCGGAGCGTCGTGTTCAGGGTAAGCAGCAGCTGCGATTCACTCAGTACATGATGATGATTGTAGTAGTACTCTAGCACGCACAGTCACACAGCACTGACATAGTGTAAAGCTAAAACTTAAGTAAAAGCGCGTTTGATGCAGTTGCTGAGTTGGCGATCGCTAACACAACGTCAAAAGTCTTTGGCCGGTACACATGTTGGTACTTTGAAGTCCGATTCGTGCAACAAGTAAAAGATGTCAAGAACATGATCGCTGTGGACGGAAATGAATGGTTTTATACGCACATCGCACGCATCGCGTCGCTAATGCGCTCCTAGTATTTGGACTTACTGGTAAAGTCAGTCTGAGTGAGTGCGACTTGAACCAGCGGCGGTAACCAGGCCACAGCCCGTTCATGGTGCACTGCACGCTCCCAACAATCTTCTACTCGCAGCACACAGGATAATTGAATTACGATGTGTGCTACGAACGCCCCAGCCCAATTCTAAAAGATGTTCAACTGTAGGAGATACAGTGAAGTGATCAAATAATTGTACTTCTTCATAACTGCAGAAAAATAATCAGAACTGACAGTGAAACACAGTCATGGTACCAATGGCGCGTTTATAATAGCGTCGTGAACTAACTAATTACTTACTATCTTCTGAGGAGTGGAACTAATTACTTACTATCTTCTGAGGAGTGGAACTTCTTTCTGTAGCAGAATTGTGGAAACTTGAGCCTTGTCAAGTATACCATTGTGTACGTCTCTCACAAAGATCCAGTCACTGGCACAGCACTCAGAAATGAATGAGCTTGTGTCCTGGCCGTGGAACACACCACACACACCACACACACACACACACACACACACACACACACACACACACACACACACACACACACACACACACACACACACACACACACACACACACACACACACACACACACACACACACACACACACACACACACACACACACACACACACACACACACACACACACACACACACACACACACACACACACACACACACACACACACACACACACACACACACACACACACACACACACACACACACACACACACACACACACACACACACACACACACACACACACACACACACACACACACACACACACACACACACACACACACACACACACACACACACACACACACACACACACACACACACACACACACACACACACACACACACACACACACACACACACACACACACACACACACACACACACACACACACACACACACACACACACACACACACACACACACACACACACACACACACACACACACACACACACACACACACACACACACACACACACACACACACACACACACACACACACACACACACACACACACACACACACACACACACACACACACACACACACACACACACACACACACACACACACACACACACACACACACACACACACACACACACACACACACACACACACACACACACACACACACACACACACACACACACACACACACACACACACACACACACACACACACACACACACACACACACACACACACACACACACACACACACACACACACACACACACACACACACACACACACAACACACACACACACACACACACACACGCATTCCCATTGCACATGGATTCGATTCCGCGATCCAACCCTGGTGCTAGAGCCTTATCCCCCCCCCCCCCCCCCCCCCCCCCCCTGAGGGAAAGCCCTGATACGATGGAAGAAATGACAGGAAATGAAATTACGCAGTCATTCAGTTCGCAAGGCATTGTGTTTGTTGGAAGAGTTGCCAACATCATAATAGTAGGGACCTTTCGCACCACGCGTACGGATACGAAACGAATGCTGATTCGTCAGAGTCGCCGCGGAGAGCTCGTTTTCACGAATGGAAGCCTCTTCATTCGTGGCACGCTCCGAATCCGTCAGGTACACATTTTTTTGCAAGGTGCACATGTTTTGCCAGGTACACATTTTTTCCCTTGATTCCATGATCCATGCACGTGTGCGCGAACACACCCGTATTCGTAGTTGCCATGCATATTTGCATAACGACTTGCGAAACCTGAATTCTGTTTTCAACGAAACGATTACGAGCCGAATCAAACTTTTGTTCGCATTCGATTCGTAGCAAATGCGAAAGGTCCCTAGTATCTAGTGGCTCCCGTCGGATGAGTAACTGCAAGCTACCAAACTTCAGATTCTTCACAGGACCTGCAAAAGTTGACGGCAGTAAAGAGCTGAAGGTCTTTGTCGGAAGTGAGCGAATTGTTAGTAGTGACCTCGGCAGTTGTAGTATGAAAACTGGTTGCCGCAGTTCCAATGTTGGAGCTCTCAGTTTTTCCCTCAGTTTTGACTTATAAGACTCACGACTACCACCTACAGAACACAAGAAGACTATCGAACCTTCGACTTAGCAAGCCGGGCTGTATGAAACCATCGCTCCCTGCTCAATACAACGTGTTTCGTGGAATTCGCTCCTGATGAGTTGAGCTTGAGCAGGAGGCTAGTGAACTTTGTGCCAGTATGCTGCTCTCCATCCCCAAACATCACCAGGGACACAAACTAACTTACAGAGACACTTTGTTGCTAGCATAATGAACACCTCGTGAACTCAGTCCGGTCAGCCTTACCCATGGATTGTTGCCGAAGCCACTATCGCCGATTTGATAGTTACAAATCCGAAAAGGCTGTTCACAAGTGCAGGCTTGAAGTTCTGTGTACATAGCTGGTTTGGTGGTGACTGTGTTAGGCACGACCAAGAGCCCTCAGCGCTTCAAGTCTCCTACATCCATGGGTGGCACTGATTTACTCCGGTATCTGGAGTTCACGAGGTGTTTGTACCGCTGGGAATACAGTGTCTCGTCAGTTCCGTATCCCTGTTGAAGTCACTCGGGGCTGGATAATACCATAACAGTGGTCACGGTTCCGACTCTAGCCACACACTTGCTCAGCCCGGCTACTCAAAATCAACTGACAAGGGGACAGGTGCCCTGAATATGTATTGAGCCGCTGAGGGAGAGGCGCTTTTCTGCAGGTTTGCCAGGTTGAATGTTTCATAGTCTTCTCGTGCATTCAGTGTCTGCTCTAGGATTGTAGGACAGCCGAGTACACGTGTACCTGGTGCAACCATTTCAACCGGGTCGGAGCCGGGTACACATGTACCTGGCGCTGTCTCACCACGACGACCTGTTTCCCAAGAGTCCTGGAAGCAGGGCCTATGGATTCGCCTCTTCGCTGGAGGCTCCATTTCCAAAAAACAACACCTCAACAATCAAGCTCGAACTGAGCACGTGCACACACCGGATACCGACTACAAGTACTTTCACTTCGACGCGCACCTCTGCATGATCTGTCACACATACAAGCCATGTAGTCAGTCCTTTCAAAGTTCGAACGTGGAAAAGTACCAACCGGGTCACAGGTGACCCGGTACTTAATTTTCAACCGGATCCAAGCGCCGCCCAACCGGGTCGATTACCTGGCTCACCCGGTTCTGGAGCAGACACTGGCATTACTCTGGACGGCAGTCGCGAGTCATTCAAGTGTCAACCAAGTTAAAGGTGAACTTAGTATGTTAAACTGTGGGGAAAGCGGCGCAATCTCGAACGTTCGGAGCAGCCAATTTTCTGACAAATCAAGTGAGATTCATTACTACACGCACAAGTGAAGAATACTGCTGCCGTGTAAGAGCTGACTAGTGATAGCAGCACAGGAAACACCACTCAGTGCGACGCAAAGAACTTGCCAGTGCCCACGTATAATACACTGGCGGTCACAGTAAGCCTCGGTGAGCGGACAAGCTGCATGTCGCTGATCATCATGACCTGGTGTTGTCTTTGCAGCACAAGTTATCTGGCCACGCCTGGATAATAGTAGAAATGCTAGTGCCTGGCTGGCTCTAAATCGAGTGAAACAAAAGGTAAACTGTGGTTGAATCATGGCACACATGCGTTTGTGGCCAGCTGTTCCACAAGGCCGACCCATTGGCATGTACATATGGAGCATTCATTTTGAATAGTGAAAACACCACAATCGTGGCTGACATGCCCGGAACTGCAAGTTGGCTCCTAAATTGTTATATACAATGAGGTGATTTCAAGCAGGGAGTTGTTGTTTTCATGACTCCCTGCTCTCACCAGGGCAGTGTCGTAGATATAATGCCAGGAGCAAAACATCCAGGAATCCCAGTGGACTGCACTGCCAGTTGATGGTGGTATGTAACAGCTGGGTGTACTGTTGCATGTGTGTGTGTGTGTGTGTGTGTGTGTGTGTGTGTGTGTGTGTGTGTGTGTGTGCGTCTGTGTGCGTGTGTGTGCGTCTGTGTGCGTGTATATGTGTGTGTGTGTGTGTGTGTGTGCGCGCGCGCGCGCGTGTGGTGTGTGTGATCTGTGTACTGCACCGTGCTGTGTGCACTGCGTTCTTTGTGCTTTACTGTGGCTGCGAACGGTACTGCACCATGGCTGTGTGTGCTGTGACACTGTCCCATGGCTCTGTTGTACATCGGTTTGTTTTCAACCATAGGGTTCTGAACGCTGGTGGTTTGAGGTCAGTCTGCCGCCTATCACCCTGCTTGAAGTAGACTGCAACCAGCGCACTATTGCAGGCAATGTGCTGGTGGGAGAGCTCACTGTTGTCTGTGCACGATGCCAGCATGCGTTCGACCTGGGCAGTGATGCCTCGCTGAATGAAAGCAACGTGTCCATAGCAGAATACGGTATGTGATGTGTGCACGAGTGAAGGCGTACGTGTGTGTGTGTGTGTGTGTGTGTGTGTGTGTGTGTGTGTGCATGAGTGAAGGTGTACGCGTATGCGTGTTCATGAATGAAGGTGTACGTGTGTGTGTCTGTACATTGGCACTCATCAAGCCTTTAAAAAAAAGTTGAAGTGGCAATCCCAAGCACCATCAGTGCGTCTGCCTCAATGCTCAATATGTTAATCATGACCTTCAGCGATTGCATGGGCATCACAAGGGCACAAGGTGATCATAGGTGGGTGAGGGCAGGGCGGTGTATGCCAATGCATTTTGAAGCTTGCCAAACAAGTACTGGTTCTCTCATCATTGACGGCAGCCAGTGATTACAGTTCAAAGTAGCAGTATTTATCTGTTCCAACTGATGGTCTCGGTCTACCAAGAAGCAGTTTTGAACACGCTGCCCTCCTTTGAGCAGATTGTTACGCAATTACTCGTGGACCATCTTGCCAACGGTCATCATTGTTTTGGAATTCCATTGTACTGCAGTGATTTGAAGGAGGTCACTGGTGCAAAGTACCTTCACTGGACAAACTCATCTAATCCACGTATAGCACATACATTAGTGTTTGCCGTGACGTTTTCATTTGGGGGCCGGATTTTCGAGTGTTTTCTGGGTGTTGCAAACAAACATAAGTTGTCGATCGCTCGGTGCTTGTTCCGACAGCTGTCAAATTCTATGCGTGTCTTCTCGTTTTGGTACGCATCACGAGAGTCTGTACCACGTTTGGCCATGTCGTTTCACCTGGGGCTAGAGAATGTATGTCCGAGTGGCCTATGATATAGTGTTGGCTGGTGATAACAATGTTGTGAATGGGCTGCACAGTTTCACATTGCTGTGATGGTTGACTGGCCGGTGCTCGGAATTCAATTCTTGATGCCCGTTAGTGTATGCGCGCACTCTGTGTAAATCCAAGTTTGTGGAATGCCTAGATCGGTGAGGTGCATACGTGAATGACGGTATTCCCTGTGCTGTGGTGCCAGTGTGCACGGCCCGATGCATGCTGAAGAACCTGGAGCTTAGTAAAGTCTACTTGCAATGGGTTGACCGCCCTGTTCTAGAGCAAAGTGATTGGTTCAGTAATCGCAAGTGGTCAGTCTGCCTGTACTGCAGAACATAGTGCTGGTATCAACAGTGTAGCACGGCTGCAAGGAATATTAATTTTATGTCATACAACCAGTACTACCTCCCCCCCCCCCCCCACACACACACACACTTGGTGTCAAGGGTTCATCGCCCTAGAGTGTGCAGCGGCCTGTACTGTCTCTGTCCAGTGTCCAGTGCCGTGATGGGAGAGTTTCACGCCACATGGTATAGTTTAATAGGCGGGCGCTGCAAGACAGTGCAAAGTGTCCAGCAGTTGGACCCAAAGTAGTAGGGTTGCATACAAGCCCTGTATCTATCATTCCCAGGGTGCAGCTTGTGTGTACGGGTTTGTCACGCTTATATGTGAAGTTCTGCCGTCGCAGCCACAGACCCCATAGACTAGAGGTGCACAGTTTTGTGAGAGTTATTAACTTATATACTCAGCTTACTATTTGTAGCACACGCTGTAGGCCTCAGCCCTGGGGTTCCAGATGAATGACTGTGAAGTTGCGTTCTAGGTGATATCTAACTCAAAGTGCGAAACTGGCGCCCTAAACCAGTTCATAGTACAATGAATTACTGTATTCAGAATCCTCTGAGACAAAAATGCGATAATACTCATAAAAAGGACACACTTCAGGCTCATTACGAACGTCTTGAAAGTTTTTGTTTTCACAAGTGTACTGTATTTGTAGTAATTTTGTACATGTGTGGGTCCAGTGACATTAGTACCACATCCAGGGCATCAAGGTCCGTGGCACCAAATAAGAACGTACAGTAAAACCTGTATTTGCCGGACCCTGTACCAAACGGAATCCTGCATTGACCCGACAAATGTTCATGCGCCAAAGTGCCGTGGATCAAACGTGCATCCCTGGATCCAGCGGAAGGAGTCCTGTCATATCAGGACAGTTTCCGTTGCACCAATGCCATGGTGCCCGGTTAGAGGGCTGGGTTTACTGTATTGATAAGTTATTGACAGAGTACGTGAGTAGGTGGTCAATATGGGAAATATAGGCCGAGTAAAAGACCTAGGTCCGCCTTTATTGCCCATATTGACCACCTACGAGGTCAACAACATATTAATTTTATCATGGTATTTCATTGTGTGTGTGTGGTGGCGAAGTGTGAACAAGTGGTCAATAATTATGGCACTGGTCAAATATGACGCTGGTAAAATATGGAAAATATTTGACCAGTGGAGATCAGGCCACCTAGAATTAATTCGTTGTTTCGGGTCACTTCACTCCGGATGATCCGTACCAGGGTCGGTCGGTCGGGTTTATTTTTTATTTTATTTTTTATTTTGGTAACTGCCATGCGCGCCATACATGGCCATGTGCATACATAATAATTGTCGAATAGCTTTTGTCCATTAAGCCAGTCGATCAAATCTAGACGATCCAGCAGCCTTCAGATCTACTATGTAGGTCCCCAGCTAGCTTCAGCCTCCAGGACCAGATCTTGACCTCGCTTGCAAACGAGTCTGACGAGCAGCTCTCACCAAAACCTCTGTCAATGAGCGACGCGGTGGCGGAGCTGATGTTGTTTCAGGACCGATCGCGGATCAGAGAATACAACGTCGTCACCAAGCGCTGCATGCATGCAACCTGTCATTTGGCTGCTTCTGACTCTGGAGATCGACGTCTGGACTGCTATTATTATTTTAGGGTCGCGTGTGTACACGCGTAGCCTAGTCATGTAACGTACATTTGCATGCACAATCAAAAAAAAACATTTTGCGGTCGGGTGAAAAAAGACGGTCGGTCGGGTGACCCGAAACAACGAATTAATTCTGGGTGGCCTCAGGGGAATTAGTGGGGCGTCGATATGAACCCATGATAATTCTGACTACTGAGGGTAGTGTGGATTCATGATTTCCGATATCATCATGATGACCTCTGAAGGGTTGTTTGATAAGGCCTATCTACCGTACATGCCTGGTGTATACAATGTGGCTTTTTTTGTCCCAAGTGGGACTGTCCACACTGCAGTAGGACACTGAGTTCCCAGTTTGTCAGGACTTCTCCATGTACTTCAAAGTACATGACATTGTACTGAATGTTGTCTGCACGTGACTATCATTTTGTATCCTGCTCAGCAGAACATTTTGGCCACCGTCTCGATGATGACAGCTCTGCTGATCCGGGGCAAAGAAGTAGACGCTTACGACGCTCATCGCCATCCTCTGCTGATTTGGCTGGCGGCGGGGGTGTGCGCCGGCCGCGACGGAAGAGGACGCTCGCACAGGCACTGCTTGCGTCCGTGGCGGAAGGCGTGGTCTTGATGCTTTTGATTGCGCTGTGCACGTCTAAAAAGAAGTCTCGAAGGTAGGTCATCGTGTCTGGTCTGCACTGCAATATGCAATGAGTCACTGCTGACTATCTGTATTCACAAAAAAAACTGTAGCACAGTCAGACCTCGCTAAACTGCACACATCCGTTTCCACAAAAAATATCCGGACAGGACGATGCTATGATACAGTTGTCATCTACTTGCCAGTACTGAGCAGGAACTGCAACTAGCGATGTTTCTTATTCTGAAATATGCAGGATTTTCTATAGCATATAGATTCCTGGTTGGAGGGAAACAAATTAGCACACGAAGCACAGATACCGTATAGTTTCGACTAGACCTTTCGTACCATTAATTTTCAAGTCAGTTTTCTATAGCACCCTCCACCCCTACAATAGGAAAGTGCAGGGTCTTTGACAGATTGTGTGTGTGTGTGTGTGCGCGCGCGCGCGCGTGCGTGTGTGTGTGTGTGCGCGCGCGTGTGTGTGTGTCTGTCTATGTCCGTCCGTCCGTCGTCTGTCTGTCTCTCTTGTCTATTTACTGGAAGCAGCTCTCCAAAGGCATCGTCAGGTGAGCTCAACGAAGTGGCCTCGCGTCCAAACGAGTCGAATGCACAAGCCCAAGATGCTACGGTACGGTGGTCAGGTGGTTTCCGAGATGAACACGTGTAGCCTTAGTAATGCATCACTCATATTGCCATGCACATGTAGAGTTGATGGGTGTCACGAGGTGTACCAGGTTGCTAGTACGTCACCTTGGTCAGCAATGGCTTACCTCGTCACACTTGCAGCACTACTACTGTGAACGAAATGATGCCTGAAGCTTTTCAGTGCAGTTCGTAGCGTATTATACTTGCACATTGTAACAAATTTGGATGCTGTTGATACGTATGGACAAGGTATGTTTCGACAATGCGGGGAGTGTCTTTTTGTTGTTGATATGATTAGCAAAAGTACGTTTCCTGTATTCTATTCAGCAAACCACGTACCATGATAGTAATGTTGGTGCTTTTGATGAGATATCGTTAGCCAAAGGTTGGGCTAGCTGACCAGTGTGTTGCTGCTTGTAAGCCTCTCTTTGACTTATCTTGATGTGATGTGGTGTGCGTGTGTGTGTGTGTACATATGTGTACGTGTGCATGTGTGTGTGTGTCCATTGGCATCCCAGGCCACAGAGGAGATCAGTACCGTACCTACACCCAGCAGCGTGGAGGAGCAAGGCAACGATGCAGCAGCCCGGTCTCCAGCAGCCACACCGGAAACTACTGAGGCAGCAGCTGGCCAGGAGAGCACCCTGGAACAGTCGCCTACGTCAAAGAGAGAAGCTGGCAGCACAGAAAAGGCAGGGCCCGAAGCTAAAGACGCAAGCGACACAGGTGTGACCGCTGCAACGCCAGGAGAGCCGGCGGCAAACCAGGCGTCTGCATCACCAGCGAAGGTTGCAGACAATGACAGCAGCACAGCTGCTGCATCTCCACTCAGGACATCACCACAACAAACTACCGCCGATGGTGCGCAGGACAGCACACCACTGCAACGCGAGGAAGTGGTTTCTCCGTCGTACGAGTGCATCCGCGGGCAGGGACAGGATGGCTCGATTGAGGAAAGCGGCGACGCAGTTGTACATCACACGGTGGTGGAAAATGCCGACGGCTATGTGTACGCCAACGTGGAGGGACGCAGCGTGTCCGTTTCCAAGAGGAAGGAAAAGAAACGCGACGATGGAAACGACGATGATGACGATGAAGACGACCCGTCCTACGAAGCTGTCATTGCACCTACAGCAACACTACCATCGCCGCCGCCGTCGCATGCAGGCATAGACCGTGGTCGCTCGGCCAGTCAGCAATCGGCCTTGAGTCACCAGGCGTCCAAGTCGGCCAGTCTGCAGCGCAGCCTGCCCGAACCGGTCGGAGAGCCGGCGTTTGTCGTCCAGTCTCGCAAGCCGTCGATATCGGTCTCTGCCAGTGACATTGCCGCCGAGCAGGAGGACGACCCCACCTATAGCTGTGTGGACGAGTCCAATGCCGAGGCTGGTGCCGGTAGCTCCGGGCAGCGCTCATCCGACATGTACGAACGCGTTGATGAGGCGTTCCGCAGCGGTATGCACCAGGACGAGCCGTACTCTCGGGTGTTCGACGACATCAGCGAGACGGGGGTCGAGTCGCCCTACAGCCGCGTTAGGGAGAACAGTCAGGGCAGCGTCGGCGCAGCCAACCTCTCCCCAAGTCACGGAGGCAGCAGCTTGTCGTCTGCACAGACCGACGGCGTGCCGGATAATGACGACTCTTACGACACGGTGTTCGACTCGCGCAAGTCGGCCAAGCAGAAGTCACCGCAGAAGGAGGCAGGATTGCAGCGCAGCCCGATTCCCGAGGAGGAACCGAGCTCTGGCAATGGCGGTGTCGCCGAAAGGAAGACCAGCGCGGGAACGCACGACATCTACGCCCGCCCGGAGAAAACCCACCATCAGCCAGTGGTTGCACACACAGAGGAGGGAGTGTACGAGAAACCTCCCCAACTGGCACCCAAGCAGCCCGGGGCGGAAGTCCTCGAGTCGGCCGTGGTGCACTACGAAGCCGGCAAGGAAGACGCTCCCATCGAGGGCATCCCTGTGCACGACAGTGGAGACCTGTACGCCATGCCAGGCAAGGGGACACTGGGCCGGGAGGTGCCGCCGGAGCTTGAAGCACGCGGCGAAGAGTCTCGCGTCTTGCTGGCGCCATCTCTGCAAGCAGAAGAGCTGGAGGATGGCGGCGGCGGTGGTGAAGGAGGCGGTGGTGGCTACGCGTCTGTGAACGATTCCGAATTCGACGCCGTGCGCCAGGAGCTGCAGATCTCCGGCGGCGGTTCTGCGCCTACTCACCGCAAGGCCAGCAAGGGCAGCCTGGCAAGCGTGGGCAGTAAGCCAGAAGATGGAGATGCCGACGGTGCTGACCCGCTGTATTCCGCTGTTAAGGACACGGGTGTTGAAGAGGCGAAGAGCACGGCTGAGAAGCAGCAGCAGCAGTCCACTCGCAAAGGGCACGGCTACAGCAAGGTGACCAATGAGATCCTGGGACCACCGAAAGATCCAGATGCCGCTGTCGGCGACCCAGGCTATCAAGAGGTCGACGCCAAGCTCAAGGAGCAGCTGGCCAAGATCCGCGCAGAAGGCGCCGAGTCTCCAGCAGCCTCTCCTAGCAGGAACATTGCACGCTCGCGCGCACAGACCACCCGGCTACCCGACGAGCCGCCCCCGGCCATTCCATCCAGCCAGCGTCCTCGTGCATCTACAATGGATTCCGTACGGATGCTCTGAGTACCACTAGGTAAGAAACTAGCCCCACGAATTGCTGGAGATCCATGCGTGACTGTCCAATTTCAATTTCAACAGCTATTATGCACACCCGCACACTCGACTGGAGCTGCGAGTCGAACGCGAACCGTGAATTTTTTTTAATGCACAACCGCGACTTTCACGAATTTTATGCTCGGCTCCATGTCGACGCCGTACACACTGCTTTCCAATTCTATGCTGCTCACTGTGTAGCCCTGCTCCTGCTGGTACAATCTTGAACACTGAAGCTTTGTCATGGCACTATGCGATAAGCATGCGTCATTGGCAGAGCTCACTGTACATACATATTCTTATCAGACTTAGCACCGTGCGATCACCTTTTGACAGAGTTTTTTTTATTAATATTCTTATTTAGTGCTTTCTTTCATTGGCAACTTCTGATATCTTTTCTCCCTCGTTTCCCCAATTATACCCATGAGAAAGAGAGAGAGTGAGTGCGTGTGAGTGAGTGTGTGTGTGCGTACGTGTGTGTTTGTAGTGGAGCCCTATGACAAATGGTGAGCTAGAAGAATGGTGTAAAAACTTCTAAAAAGAATCCCGTTTGATAGCACGGCCTCATGTACATACAATCATACGGGTTGACACAGATTCGTACAAGTGAAACACTTTTTTGTTCTCTTTCATTATCATCATCATCTTTACACTTTTGTTTTAGTTTTTTTGCAGCAAACTATTTGATTATATTTGAGCTGATTTCTTTTCCTTCCTTTGGCAAAAAACTCCTTATATTAAATAGGCGATTTCTGTTTCTATTTCTCACAGATCTTGGCACATCACGTGCAGGCAACCAACGTGTGTGCGTCATCAGAAAGTGCTCCACCGCACGTCTCACATCGCCGGGAGTGAGTGTTGGGAGACTTGAGGTGGAGCACTTTCCGATACCGGTGTGCTTAGCAACAAAGTTTCTTGTTTCCACTTTATAATAATATTATAAAAGAAGTAAAACAAAGCGAAATTAAAGGAGTTGAAAATGAAGGGCGGGGGCAAATAGGAGCTCATAAGGCTGTCCTGTAAATAATTTTTGTACTAGCAACAATCTCCTACATACTACCATGCAGTACACAATGTGGTAGAAATAGATCTCAGATGGAAATCCCTGAAACGCTTATTACGGAATTGCCGTTTGGCAACATTCAGCAGCCGGGGCATGCATATGGTCGAAATGACACATCTGAAATGTTGTCTAGAATAGCTACATAACGATCACTACGCTCATACGAACTTTTCGTGCAGTGCAGCACCCTACTCGCTTATTATGCATGTCCACCGGACTTGACGTGTCAAAATGGGTAAAAATTAATATGAATAACTTGAGTCATTGGTTGGAGACTTGGCACACTACCCATGTACTGCAGTAGTGCAATGCAAATTGGCAGCTAGCAAGTGTCTAGGGAATGTAGCAGAGAGAAAAAAACCCAGATGCTAACCTTGAGTAAGTGGACCAACGTTATCAACTGTAAGACTAATAATGTACGACATGGAATCTCTCAAAAGGAGTAAAATAAGTTAGAAATTTAAAAAAAAGACTACTAGAGAATAGCAGCATGGATTCACCCACCGGCGGCATCAGCGTGTCTCATTCACTCAGTGTAATGTGTCGTGGTACTCCTCTGGTACGGCTGACAACAGACCTGGTCAGACAGCAGCCACCACGGCAGCAGCAGCGATGGCGACGACGACCACAACAGCAACAACAACAACCATAACAACAACAACAACCATACAACAACAACAACAACAACAACAACAACAACCACAACAACCACAACAACCACAACAACCACAACAACCACAACAACCACAACAACCACAACAACAACAACAACAACAACAACAACAACAACAACAACAACAACAACAACAACAATCTCATAAACTCTTATTGGCGATGGTGACATCGTGTGAATAAAGAATTCAAATTCAAACAAAAGCGACGGCGACGACGACAACAATAACAAAAACACATTTTAGAAGTAGAAGCAGTATCATACAAGCTGCTATGTAGGTCGTACATCAAAGACTGAAATCAATGCACAATACAGCCATCATTACAGTCGAAGCACACATGCCGTGACATGGCCAAAAATACAATCATCCAGCTATCTCCTCCGGTTGTTAGCTCAACCCAGTCTTGTACAGCTACAGCCAAATGGTAGGCAGATATCAAGTTGCCAAACTGAATCAAGTGCACCATGAATTTCATACCAATAAAACATTCCACCACCAGACCCAGAATGAAAGTTTTGTTACATCAAGAGACGTATCTGGACAGACCGTGGGATTGGAATGGCGTGCAATATACAGTGCTGCTCAATGAAATCCAGCAGTCGCGTCACCCAAGTATGCGTCTTGCATCATTTCACAGCCCAGTGTTTGCAGGTCTAGGGCTGCACAACGCCCGGTGTGTACTTGAGTGACAACGTGACTGGATTTCATTGAGCAGCAGTGTAACATTACATGTACTTGTACATGTAAAAGCGGTTTCACAACCAAAATTAGCTAGAGCATATAGCCATATAGCAATTCATTGATGTAGCAATGATTTACCTTTCTCCTCCAGGAACTTCCAACTCCAGATGCGATTGTAGGAGCGCTGTAAGCGTGGGGAGTACAGCAGCACATCGCTTAGAGCCGAGGAAGAGTGCAAATTGAGTACTGGTCTAGACGAGCAGTACTTGTGAGAGGCACATGCGCCTTCCAAGTTGGAAGGTTGTTGGTTTGCGCTTCCGTAGATGTGTTGGAGCTAGGTGTCAGGTCGTTGAATGTCTCAATACCCCCGTCAGTTTTGTGCCATGTTGTTGCACTGTCTGGCTGTGTACTATCTCGTTACCTTGGTGGGCAGTTAGTCATAGCTCGTAACTTATTGGTCCTTTCTTGTTTACACGACTAAACAAGGCTTTCATACATACTCAATCAGTTAACGTTCTCTAATCAAAGCAGCTCAGGCCGTTATTACACTACGACTCACGGCTCGCGTCTAGCTCACGTTTGATCAGATCCCAACGGTTTCGGGTCACGCGATCCAAACGCGAGCCGTGCCGTGAGCAAATCCAGACTTGGGCTCTCGAGGGCAGGTCAGCATTTCCGCGAGCTCTGCCGTGAGACGGTAAACGTGACGCGAGCCGCGTGCCGTAGTGTAATAGCGGCCTTATTGGAAGCGAGCGTTTCAAAAGCGACATTGTTGCAGATCGAGGTGACGCGTGAAGAGCATACTTGCTTTCTGCCCCACGAAGAGCGAGACTTGCGCAGATATCTTCCCGACAAAGAGTGCGACAGAGTGGAAGTTACCGTATGCAAGTACCCTGGCTCACGGGAAACTCAATGCCTACAAACGCCGCACATACTTGGTGAGGAATCGGTGCATACACCATGTGCGGTGTGTGAATGACAGCTGCTTTTCATACCGCATATACTACATAGTTCATAGCTCACCTGTCCAACATCGCAGAGAGCAGTGACAATGGTATGACCGGGTCCTAGAATCTTAGCAGCCTGGTAGCATAAATAAACAGGGTACACATGCACACACAGAGGCGCACATGAAAACACGGGCACACATGCACACACATGGGCACACATGGGCACACACGGGCACACATGCACACGCGGGCACACATGCACACACGGGTACGTATGTACACAGAGGCACACACAGGCGCGGGGTTTCACCTCGGTTTGTGTTCAGTTTATATTCCACGTATCAACTTAAGATTAGTTTGTAGTATACAGTCAACTGTGCGTATAACGACACTCGGCCAGGCATCAGAAAAGTGTCGTTATTCGCGAAGTGTAGTTATACCCGAAGTCTCATTGTATGTATACAGGTAGATGGGACTTTGCTCTGGGCATGGAAATTCTGTCGTTATTCGCGAATTGCCGTTACAGTCAACTTCGCTTATAACGACACTCGGCGGGGCATCAGAAAAATGTCCTTATTCGCGAAGTGTCGTTATACCCGAAGTCTCATTATGTGTATGACAGTTGGATGGGACTTTGCTCTGGGCATGGAAAGTCTGTCGTTATTCGCGAATTGTCGTTATATCCGTAGTCGTTATTGGCGAAGTTGAGTGTATATCCGCAGTCGTTATTAGCGAAGTTGACTGGACGTAACATAATTTCAATGTAGATGAAGACTCATGTACAGTAAGGCCCGCAGGATTGGTCTTTCTTCCCGGCACATGCTACACTCTTTGTTTGCGCGCATACCCCGTGCATATCAAGACTGGCTGTCTCGGCACCCACTTTGTCCATACATATAATACTGTTTTAAAATTAAGTTTGACTTTAAATCACGGCATACCCCCCCCCCCCCCCCCCCTCCCAGTGTGTGGTCTCCTTGGACAGTGACTTAGTTGCTGCCCAAACACACTGCAATTTCATGTTTCTGAAATCTAACACCAACTACAGTTCTCTAATCAAAACTGAACCGGAGTCTGTCCAGGAGAGGGAGAGAGAGAGAGAGAGAGAGAGAGAGAGAGAGAGAGAGAGAGAGAGAGAGAGAGAGAGAGAGAGAGAGAAAGAGAGAGAGAGAGGGGGGCAGGGGAGGGGGTTGGGTGAACTGGGTTAGCATGCCAGTTGATTAAGACGAGTGCTGGCATGAAAGAAGCCAGCAACCTGTGCTTGGTGCCAGCATGCCAGTCTAACATGCGTCACTTGCTGTGTGGCGCATGAATGACGTGCTACAGCCACACAGGGCAGTAGACAGTGCTGCTCAATGAAATCCGATCAAGTGAGTCAATGTCACACTGGGTGCTGTGCGGCACTAGTCCTGAAAACACCGGGGTGTGAACTGGTGCAGGGTGCAAGCTTGACTCACACGATCGGATCTGAGCAGCACTGTGAGAGTAAAGTATTCAGCACATGCTGTTTCCATCTTCAGAGGGTTTGCTGGGATGGTGTGCCATCCGAGACTCAAAGACACACGGTCAGCACAGAGACACTGACCTGCACTGCTCCCCTGACATTCAGGCCGGACGACAAGCCAACAAATATACCCTCCTGGTGTAGGAGTTGAAACGTCTGCAGCACAAATGGAAAAAAACAGCCGCAAAGAATACAACACCCGCCTCTAAAGACTGGTCGTCCTAGGTGCGACAGCTTTTAGCATTTGCATGCGACTGAATCCTTGCACTTGTCACAGGATCTTGACCCAGTGTGGCAGGGCTGATGTTTCTGCTTGTGCATGCACAGACAAGAACGTACATCATGCACGTGTGCACGCATACACACACACACATACACACACACACACACACACACACACACACACACACACACACACACACACACACACACACACACATACACACACACACACTTGTACTTGCTTGTTGCTCACTGCCAATACTGGTCACGTGGGTCTTCCCGGGAGAGGGGAGAGAGACTCAAAAGGAATACACAAACACACACACACGTAACAGGGCAGACGAAGGCGAAGACGACACAACTGAAAGACTTACTGCCTTGACGGCATCGGCATCCTTAACAAGAATAGCATGATCGACAGGACTGTCCTTGAGATTATCCGTCAAACGGCCTTGACCAATTCCTGGGACAGTGGTGAGACATTGAGAATAGACACAACCGAACAAAGTATATCAATCCAATCACAACGAAGAGAAAGCTGCGACAGACAGATTTGGTTATTAATTATTTTTTTTACGATCGCTGGAGCTGGAGGGCCTCAGTATCTCCAGGGAATTATCCTCAAAGTGGTGGCGGTGGTGGTGGTGGTGGTGGTGGTGGTGGCGGTGGCGGTGGTGGTGGTGGCGGCAGTGGTGTGTAAGCCATGAAGGTTGGTCACAAGCTCAAAATCTCTTAACACTACTGATCAACCAGGGACTCACTTGACTGCCTGTTCACTCCTCCCCCCCCCCCTCCCCCCCCCCCCTCCCCACATGTGCAGTGGACGATGCATTGGCGTATGAATACACACATTGTAGTCCAGCATAATTAAATGCGGTCATTGCTGCCATGGCTGGTAGTTCAGTTTAGTTCTACAAGCATTTAGCTTCGGGTGGCACTGATGAAGACTCTTGGGCAGCATTCATTGCAATATAGTCCACCACCTGTCCATTGTTCGTGGACGCAACGTAGCACAACTACCAGTCTCTGCGTCGCTGCATACCTTCTGTGTACGATGATCCTTCGGAACGTTCCAGCTTGCCATGATTGAACCAGTTGTACAGCACAGACCCCTACGAGAGAAACAATGGCAAACACTGTCGATGCACTTGTGCCAATGGTCAGGACAGTACTAGGGTAGTAGGGGATGAACTACCCTGCCACATCGACAGAACTACATAGACACAAAGTATCCCATGACATGGGCAGCTAGAGAGGGTACTTAGAATCCGAGGTACTGTTGCAGACATTGCCTTTTCTCCTCTTCTGCCACCTAGCAGGCTCTCTCTCTCTCTCTCTCTCTCTCTCTCTCTCTCTCTCTCTCTCTCTCTCTCTCTCTCTCTCTCTCTCTCTCTCTCTCTCTCTCTCTCTCTCTCTGTCTGTCTGTCTGTCTGTCTGTCTGTCTGTCTGTCTGTCTGTCTGTCTGTCTGTCTGTCTGTCTGTCTGTCTGTCTCTGTCTTTGTCTCTGTCTCTCTTTCTCTGTGTCTCTTCTTCGGACTTTACTAACCTGGGGGTCGGCCAAGATCACTTGAATCTTCTCATTCTTAGTCTTCAAGAACCTACCCACGCCTGAGAGAAAAGAACAAAACAACATTTAACAACATAGAGTAAAACCTTGGATCACATCAGATTGGGAGCTGGGACATCTATATTTTCCAGATTATTTTGGTCATTATAAAACAAGATCTGAAGAAAACCAACATCACTGTTCCTGAAGCCTTTGTCTTAGCCTAAAACAGACATGCATGGAAGCTTTTCACTCACAGATGCGCAGAGCTCAATTCTGAGTAACACGCGAGCTGTTCTTCTTACTATTATGTTGGTCATTGGCTTCTTTATGCCATCAGGTTGTGTGAAACGAATAGAATAGAACAAACCCAGGAACAGACGTGTTTGAACGTGAGTGGGCCTGCGAGTCTACGTCCTAAGTTTGACTTCACTACGCACTTACCGGCTAAAGTGCCTCCAGTGCCGGTAGCGAACACAACTGCGTCGACTTTGCCCTCTAGACACGGGACATACACATGCCACAAGCAATACTGTAAACCAGCAAAATCTAGCGACACAGACGTCTTAGCGAATTCAGCAGATGGGTAAACTTCGCTACAGTCAGGTCTTGCGAATCACTTCCAAGGTCATGAGTGTGACTGCACTTACAACAAAATTCTTTCATCGTGAGAACAAATAGTCGCTACCACGTCAACAATACGAGAACGCTAAATGGAAAATGGAGGCAGCGACTTCGGCGATAGATCAACACACGCTTTCGTTGAATATTAACTGTTATGTTCGGCCTGCAAGCCACCCTGAAGCCCATTGTAGGACAAGACAAGGAATGTTTATTTCGCAACACATTGAGCATGTGCATGTATGATACAGATGACAAAGGGAGAGAGAGAGAGGGGGGTACGGAGAGAGACAACGCTGCGACAATCACTATACAGTACAAAATCGTGGCTAAAATTTGGGGGCTTACAATAATTAGACAGTGTACACTCATAATGAAACCCCCACATGCACAAGCATGCACTTACTGGGCTCAACACAAATGTTGTTGAATTGCAGTAGCGCAAAGGCAATGCAAGCACGACCGTATACTGTCAGAACATGTTTTCTTCATCATGGCACGGCAGCTAGACATCAGCATGCTCACCTGTCTGTTCCCAGATCTCCGGTCCGGTGGTTTCAAAATGCGCCTGCCGATTGGCGGTGTTGTCAAACTAAACACACATAACAACGCAACACAAGGATGTTCCACAAAGCATGTAGTGTATAGTGTTTGTCGCAGCATTGTCTCTCCCCTTACTGTCTCTCACTCACCTGCATTATATATGTGCATGCATATCACATGATCCCTGTAACGTCGCGTATTAAAGCCGAGCTTTCTCCAGTATAGAAGCTGATGTCAGTGCTAACATAGGCTTCTACTAGTATTCGAACCGGGTACAGTAAAACCTGTCAAGGTGACCACTCGGATAAGGCGACCACCTGCCCCAGAAGACCACTGTAACCAGGACCACGGGATGCTATTTCCAGTCAAATGGCCCTGGATAAGGTGACCACCTGGTAACAGAGACCACATTTCGAAGGTCCCTTCAGCAGTCGTCTTAGACAGGTTTCACTGTATTTGTATGCATGTCAACACTAAAACCAGGCTTATTTGCCGCCAGTGGTTCTTGAAAATCAGGCTTGTATTCAAAACAGGCTTCTCAGTATACGAGACAGACTTTAAAACAAGGCATGTCTACAATATCAGCCATGCAAGCTCCAACTCCACACCATTAGGTCACATGAGGTCAGCCATGATGGCTCCAACTCCCGTCAATCCCTGTACCAACAGATCACAACATCACAATGTTATATGTATTGCTGCCTTCTTCCTGTGGATCATCAATGATGCTACAGCTCCTAGACCATGAATCATGATGATACGAATCTGATGTATCTGCTTACATGTAGATTACGATTCTTGTGCATTGCCAGGTACATCGAGTGCTTCATCAACACATACCAGAGTGTAGACAGGTTACTGGGGACAGGGGCGCATACGCCTGACAATCTGGGCTGTGACAGCTTGTCATGCGCATGCAAGCCTGCTGGCCCACTCAACGACAGACCAGTCCAGAACAGCTTGCCCTTGCTGTGAGCTCATGCCATGGTGGCCATGTGTCCAGTTCAACTCAAAATCAGATGTCAAACAGCACAAACTAGCCATGCTGCTTACTGCAATGCAAATCGCCCGCCTATTCAACGACTGCAGCACAAAAGGTTTCGAGGTACAAGGATCTCTTTAGCAACTTGTAAATATTCGGAGACAGAAAAAAACAGAGAGGTGTGTGTACTTTGAAGAACTGATAAGTCTTCATAGTGGTAGATATCTCTGCTGAGCCATGCCTCCCGGCACCTGTGTGTTGTGTGGAGCTGACAACAAACGAACAAAGCTGGTGTCTTGTCTTCATTCGCTGTGTTCGTCATGCCTGGAGCAGTGCATTGAAGACAATGGTTCAATCATCTGCCCAACTTGTAAAGCGATAACACCACTGCAGCCGGGATGTGCTCCAGCAGTATCCTTGCCAGATAGCTGTTTGAAGACAGTAGACACCAGCAACGAAGGGTCAGTTCCATCATGTGATGAATGTGTGGACGTGGAAGTTGCTGTGTCCCGCTGTCCTCAGTGCAGCATGTCCCTATGTGATGCACATGTTCAAAATCACAAGCGCTCGAGGGCCACCCACGACCATGTGCTAATAGCATTGGATAGGTCTGCTGAGTGTTCTAGTGCTTCTGCTCCTCAACCAGCACACAGATGTGCTCTGCACACGACAAAGACTATCACACACTTCTGTCACGAGTGCCAAAAGCTGATGTGCCAGCGATGTATCGACACTAAAACACACGAGCTGCACAAAGATGCACTTGTGCCTCTTTGTGAAGCTGCAGAGAAGATGAGACAGTCGGTGAGAGAGAATCTATCCACTTGTGTATCTGGTGAGAGTGTTGGTCTTGAAACTGCAAATGAAAAGGTCAGATCCACCATCACTGCTCTCAATGATCAGATAGAATGTGCATCGGAACGTGCCACAGAGTTCTTTCAAGGTATGATGGAAGCGGTGAAGGCAAGGGAGACCGAGGTTCTGGACAAATTGGATCAGTTGCGTGCCCAAAAACTAGCACCGTTGGAGAACCAACTGCAGAAGCTGGAGGAAGGTATTTCACAGACTGACATGGTGACAAGTATTCTAGACTCAAGCCAGGATGATATGAGCTTCATGAGAATGTCCAAGTGGCTCAACACGGCCATCACAACGGCAAGACAAATTGCCCAGAGGCATTCAGAACCTTGCACAGTACAAAGCATCGCGTTCGCAGCAACAGAGACGCAGGACGTTCTTGATGCCATTGAGAAATCCGGAGTGTGTGTTGACATTGCCGAGAGCACACTTATCTGTCCTGAGGAGGCTAATACCGGCTGTGACACCAACATCAGTATCGATATGAGTACACTTGGTGAGAACCTAACCCTCAGCCCGGATCAACTTTCCAGGATGGATATCAGCATTGCTGTCACGGATCCGGACGGTGAAACAGTACCGTGCCGCATATCACAACGATCACCCAACGGCCAGCGCATCGAAGCTAACTGCCGTCCTATTCATGAGGGTGAGCACACCGTTTCGGCCACTATTGCTGGCACCCACATGAGGAGTAGTTCAGCAACGTTTAATGCCCGGCCTGGTTTCGAAAAGGTCTACTGCCACAGTTCACTTGAAATTAGCAACAAAAATCAAACAGTCTGCAAAACCAAAGACGAGGGATCTTATCGATATGCGTATACCGTGCCTATAACAAAGTACAGAAGCTCATCTCAAGTCAGGTTCTGCATTGATCATTACACTAAACCAGGCAACATCTTCATTAGTGGGAACTTCTGTGATGATCCGGATCCTAGTGTACGTCCAATCACTGAAAAATCCTTCGGATGGTATGCTGGACCCAGCAAGTTTGGTACATTCACCGGTACAGAGCTAGGCCAGCCATGGCGGTCGGGTGATAATATCACACTCACTATCAACCATGATGAACACACGCTTACAGGTCACCATCGTCGCACCGGTATCACAGAAGTGCTGCGCAATCTGCCCACCGGTAAGATGCGCTGGCGTGTTGATCTGTGCAGCATCGGAGATAAGGTCACAATGCGGTGACCAGACTTGTATCGTTGATTGGACTATTAATTCCCGTAGCCATGCAAAAGACGTTACTTCAGTAACGTCTGGCGCTAGCCAGGGTCCACACAGCTTTAATTAACACAACATTCACGAGAGATGACCCCTCACATACACACGCACGCACGCACGCACACACACAGACACACACACACACAGAATAATACAGCCTTGACCTTTTCTTTCCGATCGTGTTTACGCTTCACAGGTGTGGAGATGGACAAGGAAAGACCTCTTCCACCCATGTGAGCATAGGATCTTGATTTACCATACTGATTGTGTATGTGCTTTGCAAGCCTGACTTGTTTGCTCCTTCTGATATTCTTCCTTTTGCTGGCCAGTCTCCATAACATGTTTTGCCACGCAAGCACAAACAACCAGCTTTCGATTTCCATGTGCCGCTGCATTTACGGTTCCTCAGCACGATCAGATTTGTATGCTACTCCGAAGCGCCGTCAGTGCTGTATTAACTGTTATCTAATGTGTGATGTTGCTACAGTGCAACTTTGTTCGTCTGGGCTCACTCTGGACAGAAGCCCTTCACAAAGGGTTCAGATACTTCGAAGTAAGAAAAGCGACGCTGATCGCCATGTCATTCTGATCGTTTTCAGCATCTGATACCCACTGTATACTAGTACACATGTCAGGGCGTTGGACACGCTACCGTCACTACGGTATTGACCGTACCACTCTTTGTCCCAGGTACCCCGTCAATCAATAAAAATGCACTTCAGTGTTTGGGCTTTGAAATTTGAAACTGATCAGCAGAGCCAGCACCTCCCAAAACGTAAATTTTGCCGCAGATTGCTGATCGTACCACCCTAGACTACCTGCCGACGCCCCTGCATGTTATGGAGAAAGTGGTCAGCTCTCTGTCTGGCTCGCTTTACTGGATTCTACTATTTCTAGACTGTATTCTTCAGGCTCACTTCAGGCTCGACTCGCATTGCAAACTTCCTTGTTATTGTGTTTCCAACTAACTAACTACTAAAGAATAGTGGTGAAACGAATGTCAAAACCTAGTAACCGAATATTCTTTGGCTTATCGAACGAACGTACGAATATTCTTTAATTTCTTTTGGTAACAGAGATGCCATCACATGCCCTCCTCTCAGCCATTTGATGGATATTGTCATTATTATTAGGTATGACAAATGGTAGTGCCACATTAAATGCACTGCCACATAAGGCTACTTCGAAGTTCATACATGTTGTTTCAACATTGGCAGTCCAGTATGCACATGAATGAGAAAACATGGAGTACAAAGTCACAGGCAGGCTGTACGCACGGCACAGTATTGTGTTCGGCGTGCTTATTATATACATGCACTGCATTCGAAGTGACGTAACGAATACTCGAATGTGACTTAAAGAATATTCGAATGTGACAAACCGAACGAATGTTCGAATATTCGAATATTCGTTTCACCACTACTAAAGAAGAAGACTACTGAAGACTAGCCGAAAGGGAAAGGCACCTGCGTCTTATAACAGCACGGCAACATAAAGCACAGCAGGCCGAGCAGGGCGGCATAAAAGGCACAGCAGGCCGAGCAGGGCGGCATAAAAGGCACATGTGAAACCAGAGACCCGGACCCGTCAAAGCATGCAAATGAGGGCCGCTCTATCGCCTGACATGAATGCATACAAACCAGTATACATGACCATGCGTGCACATCTCCCCCTTCACTCACGAAATGGCATATGAGTGAGTACATGAGCAAGGCAGTGCAGCAGCAAGAATGAGCGCACCGGAAGGCAGCATGTGGAAAGTGCAGACGGACAACCACAAGAGAAAACATCAGACACATCAGAAAAGACTAGAGACAGCACACCAGTGTCAGAGCACCAGCACTCTAACAGAACAGCGCAGCTAACTGTCTGTCTCGACCGGGCGTCGCCTCACTCCACCGGGAGCGGAATGAGGCGTTGGATGGCTCGCCGGTAGATCTTGCCCCGGATCTCAACATCCACCACCCTGACGCAACTGTCTGGTCCGGGGAAGACACGCCTCACCCTGCCCAGTGGCCAACTGCCCCGGGGTGTGTCGGGCTCGATACACAGCACCACCTCATCGACAGCGATGTTCTTCTGCGTCTTGCGCCACTTCCTGCGCTGGTTCAGCAGTGGGACGAACTCCAGGAGCCATCTCCTCCAGACCTCCTTCACTGTGCGCTGCACGACGGCGAAGCGATCTCTGGGGTGTACTTGCTCTGTGGCGTTCAGTTTCTCTTCCAACGGCAGAGGTGGGTCGCAGCGTCCTGCGAGGAAATGCTGCGGAGTCAGCGGCTCGAGGTCGGCGGCGTCGGCACTGACTGTTGTCAGCGGACGGGAGTTGATGAGGTCCTCTGCGGCGACGATGGCGGTGTGTAGCTCCTCATCAGTGAGCTCAGCGGTGGCCAGTGCGGATCTCAGAGCGCGCTTCGCTGCCTTAATCATAGCTTCGAAGACACCTCCAAAATGCGGTGCTCTGGGTGGGTTGAACCTCCACCGGATGTGTCGATCAGCGAGACTGCGCGCGATCTCTGCGCGATTGAGCTGCTCCACGGCTTCTCGTAGCTCCCGTTCAGCCGCGACGAAATTTGAGCCGTTATCGGTGACGATGATGCTTGGCGTGCCGCGCCGCTTAACAAACCGGTTGAACGCCATGAGGAACCCCCCGGTATCCATGGAGTAGGTGAGCTCCAGATGGCAGGCACGGGTTTCCAGGCACGTCATGAGACAGAGGTAGCGCTTCGCTCGGGTTCTGCCTCGTCCTTGCTTAGCCTGGAACGGCCCGGCAAAGTCGATGCCGCAGTGCGAGAATGGTTGGAGAGACCCGGCAGTCCGAAAGTCCGGCAGAGCGCCCATGATCTGTGCCGCCGGTACACCCCAGTTCTTCCGACACGGAACGCACGACTGGCGTGCCGTCTTGACTGCTGATGCACCGTTTACTATCCAGAACCTCTCCCTCAGGTTGGACAGCAGATGCTGAGGTCCCACGCTGTGGCGGCACCTCCGGTCCTCCTTCTCGATCAGCAGCCGCGTGACAACGTGCTTCTGAGGCAGGATGATCGGTAAGCGTACACGATATGGCAAGTGTTTCGCAGCCTTCAAACGGCCTCCGACCACCATCAGCGGTTCAGCATGTTGATCTAGCGTCGGGGTTAGCGCCGCCAGCGGGTCGCTAGCCTGCATTGGCTTTCCGGCGGCCAGACGCTCCAGGGTTGGGCCGTACGCGTCCTTCTGCGCCTGTCGTATCCAGTGCCTCTCAGCGCGGCCTACCTCACCCGCCGTCAGCTCTGGCACGTTGACAGTAGGGTAGTTCGAGTTGGCTGCTCGCGAAGTCGACACTGCAACGGTGACGTCTTGATCGCTGCTGGTATCCTCCCCCTTCATGCCGACGCGCGGCTTGCGGCGGCATCGGCTGACAAACCGGTAGCACCACGCAGTCACCCTGAGCAGCTGCTCCCAGGTGCGGTATCTGGACGCCTGGAGGCGAGTGGTTGGCGTGACGGCAAGCGTGAACGTGGTCTCCCGCTGGATGACGCCTGGCAGACCTTCTGTGGACGCTGACTTCTCAGGCGGCCATACGTCTGGTTGCTGCGACAGGAACGCGGGTCCGTGCCACCACACCCGGTCCTCCGCCAACTCCTTCGCTGGTAGCCCACGGGTACCCTTGTCGGCGGGGTTCTGCTTGCCGGGTACGTGCCTCCACTGGGAGGGCTTCGTGGCGTTCTGTAGCTCTGAGACGCGGTTGCCGATGTCGACCTTGAACCTGCGGCTGTGCGAGCGGATCCACCCCAACACGTTCATGGAGTCCGTCCAGAACGTGTGCTCGGCGACCGGGATGTCCAGAGCGTTGCCAACTTCGCTGCTGGTCCGCAGACCCAAGACGGCGCCGCGAAGCTCCAGCTGGGGGATGGTCTGCCGACGAGCCGGGGCTGTCTTGGCCTTGGCCATGGCGAGCGTCACCCGCACGTTGCCGGCTGCACCCTCTGCGCGGATGTAGGTCGCGGCAGCGATGGCACGGTCAGACGCATCCGTGAACGTGTGGACGGAGAGGATGGACTCTGTAGCCGCGCCATCGCTGCATCCGGCTCGAAGGACCAGTTTATGGTCAGCTCTCTGTCTGGCTCGCTTTACTGGATTCTACTATTTCTAGACTGTATTCTTCAGGCTCACTTCAGGCTCGACTCGCATTGCAAACTTCCTTGTTATTGTGTTTCCAACTAACTAACTACTAAAGAAGAAGACTACTGAAGACTAGCCGAAAGGGAAAGGCACCTGCGTCTTATAACAGCACGGCAACATAAAGCACAGCAGGCCGAGCAGGGCGGCATAAAAGGCACAGCAGGCCGAGCAGGGCGGCATAAAAGGCACATGTGAAACCAGAGACCCGGACCCGTCAAAGCATGCAAATGAGGGCCGCTCTATCGCCTGACATGAATGCATACAAACCAGTATACATGACCATGCGTGCACAGAAAGGACACGTCACCACTTCATGGACAACAGATCGGCATAGATACATGTATAGCCTATGTATGTGTGTACACCATACATGTAGGAGTCATTTGTACACTGTACACCATAAATGTAGGAGTAAGTTGTACACTGCATGCCCTACATGCACATGTACGCGACAATAGTGCACAATTCGGGCATCCAACGAGAAAAAGAAGAAAAGTTTGTACATGTACATCGCCACGCACGAGCCACGGTCATTCAGGAACACTTTTTTAAAAGCGTCCAGATAGTTGAGGTTCGGACTATCTGGGCTGTACTATAGTTCAGTCAGCCGACGTCGAGATATCAGAGACAATCGGGAACAGAACAAGGTTACGGAGGACAATACGAGACAGGTAACACGCAGAGCCGCATGAGTTACATCCCACTGCTACATGTACATGGCAACCAAACTGACACTACTACCAACAATCTGCCTAACAGTACTGTAAAATTGTTTGTCATTCGTGAAACGAACATCGTTCATTACGTATTCAGACCCCCTCTCCTCCCACTGAAATGAACACAGCTTGCTATGCTAGACGACACAAATCGTATGCGTGTACATGTACAGTGTCAGTCTACTTGAGATTTTGTCTCGCACTCCTCCCCCCAAATGATTGATGTGCATTTCAGGGACGACAAAAATCTTTTGAAAAGACCCCTAACCATTGCAATTCAACATATACAGAACACTGTGACATACAGCACAGTTTGTCCTCTTGGTTGCAATACTGCTACATACATATCGTTCTACTTTTTTTAAAGAAATTACACGACACACATGAGGCTCAGTCAGACGGAATTTTCTGCATCCTTGGGCTGCACTCACACTGCCACAAGAGGCTTGTATCCATGTGACAGCATGGCGCAGAAACGGGATGGTCCTGCTCACAGTACATCCAAAAATACCGAAGAGAGGTGTTGCGCTTTCAAATTTCTGATTTGTGATCTGTGAACTCTTTCCTGCCATGTGTTCCTGCTATGT